TAGTAGACATGGTGAAAAGAACTACATGACCAAAATTCAAAAGGAAAACAGACAATAGAGACAGATACTCAAGTGAGTCTGATACTAGATTTAGCTGGCAAAAACTTTTAAATTATTATTTAAAAGGAATGCCTTTAAATGCATTTTATTTAGAGAATGCCTAAATAATCCTGAACAGAGTGTTAGTAGAAATACGGACATTAAAGCCATTCTGATAAAACCTCAGATGGAAATGAGGAACATGTTATTGGAAACTAGAGGAAAAGTGCTCCTTGTTATAAAGTGGCAAAGAGCTTGGCTAAATTGTGTTCATATAATTCGTATGTTAAAAAAAAAAATAGAGAACAGGTAGAAGAAAACACATGATTTCACCAGATAATTAGAATTCTTTTTTAAAAAAAGAATTATATAAACATTCTCAAACTGAAAATACAACATGAAGAATTAATGCCTCACCAGATAAATTTAACTACAAATTAGGTGGAGCAGAAGATAAAATTAGTGTACTGAAAGACTAATTAATAGAAAACACTAAAATGGAAGCACAGAGATAAAGAAAAAATACAGAAAAATAGAGAAATGTATGACTAGATGAAAAAAAATCCATATGTTATTGGAGCCTAGAAAAAAGGAGAAAGAATAAGGCAGAAGTAACATTTGAAAAATAATATCCCTCAAATAAAGGTCATCTACCCATAAACTCAAGAAGTCCTGTGAACCTCCAAGAGAACAAATACATGGAAATTACATCAAGGCATATGTGATGGTTAATTTTATGTGTCAATTTGACTGGGATAAGGGATGGTCAGATAGGTAGTAAAACAGTATTTCTGTGTGTGTATGTGAAGGTATTTCCAGAGGAGATTAGCATTTGAATTTTTAGGCTAAATAAAGATTATCTTCATCAATGCAAGTGACCATGATTCAATCTGTTGAGGGGATGACTAGAACAAAAAGGTGGAGAAAGGCTGAATTTGCCATCTCTGCTCGAGCTGGTGTATCTTCTCCTGCCCTTGGACATTGGCACTCCTGGTTCTCAGGCCTTTGGAGTTGATTGGTCATTGGTCTCCTGATTTTCAAGCATTTGAACTCAGACTGGGATTTACACCATTTACACCATTAGCTCCTCTGATTCTCAGGCCTTTAGATTCTGAGTTACACTATCAGTTTTCCTGCAGATGGCAGATGATGGGACTTCTTGACCTACATAATTGCATGAGCCAATTCCTATCATAAATTTTTTTCTTTCTCTCAGTTCTGTTTTTCTGGAAAGTCATGACTAACACAGATTTTGGTACTGAGAAGTGGGAGTGCTGCTGTAATGAATGCCTGAAAATGTGGAAGTAGCTCTGGAACTGGGTAATGGATAGAGGCTGGAAGAGTTTTGAGGTGCATGCTAGAAAACACCTATATTGTTGTGACCGGATCTTTAAAAGTGATTCTAATGAGGGCTCAGACAGAAAAGAGGAGCACTTTGGAGAAAGCCTCCATCTTCTTAGAGAATGCCTAAATAATCCTGAACAGAATGTTGGTAGACATATGGATGTTAAGGCCATTCAGATAAAACCTCAGATAGAAATGAGGAACATGTTACTGGAAACTTGAGGAAAAGTAATCCTTGTTATAAAGTGGCAAAGAGCTTGGTGAAATTGTATTCATGTTCTAGTGTTTTGTGGAAGGTAGAAATCGCAAGCGATGAAATTGGTTATTTGGCTGAAAAAATCTCTTAGAAAATTGCTGAAGGACTGACCTGGTTCCTCCTTCTGACTGCTTATGATAGAAGCCAGAAGAAATGACTACAAGAGGAATTGTTAATCAAAAAGGAAGCAGAACTTAAAGATTTGGAAAAGTCTTAGCCTATTCATATTGTAAAGAAAGAAAAAGCCAGCTTTGGAGAAAACACTAAGGGTGTGGCCAAGGGGCCTTTTGATAAAGAGATTAGTATGGATCAGCCCTCTCTGCAGAAGCCAGGAGATATTCTCCAAGACAACAGAAGACAATAGAAGAATGACCCTGAAGGCAATATAGAGATAATGGAGGCTGCCCCTCCCAGCATAGGACCAGAGTGCAAAGTCCCTTGGGGCAAAGAAGTTTCAAATATGGAACCATCTGAGCCTGTGAGACCTCAGCATGCACTGCCCAATAGAACCTTACATTATGGGTTCTGCTCCCCATCACTGGCTTCTCTAAAGTGTGGCTCTGGTGGGCCTGGTATAGTGTAGGCTGTGATGGCCAACCCTGTAGGCAGCACAGGTGGTAGATTTTGGTGGCGTCTACAGTCTCTGCCAACACTTAGGGAGCCATGGCTTAGGCTATGCGTGGCAAAGCCACTGGTGCGTGATTCTAGCCTAGGAGAGCCACAGGCCCCTGGCCCCAAGTTAGCTTGAATGACAGAGGCAGAATAACCACCTGGAAGAGCCACAAACTTGGGACTCCAGCCAATAGCTGTGGAGATGGGACCATAGCCTACTGAGTCTGGAAGGCAGAGCATCAAGCAGAAGGTTATTCTGGAACCTTCAGGTTTAATGGAATTTTCCCTGTTGGGTTGGTTTGCTCAGAACCTGTCATTTCTTTCTTCTTTCCTATTCCTTTATTTTGGAATAGGAATATCTATCCTATGCCTTTCCCACCATAGTATTTTGGAAGCATATAACATGTTGGTTTTAGAGGTTCACAGTTGGAAAGCAATCTGCCTTAGGATGAATTGTATACCTTGAGTCTCACCCATATCTGATTTAGATGATATTTAGATGAGATTCTGGACTTTGGATTTTTCAGTTGAGGCTGGAATGAGTTAAGATTTTTGGGCTGCTGGGATGGAATGAAATATTCCACATGTGAGAAGGACGTGTATTTTGGGGGGCTTGAGTGCAATGCTATAGACTGAATGTGTCTCCCCCAAAACTCATATGTAGAAACCTAATTTCCAATGTGATGTTATTTGGATAGGGCCTTTGGGAAGTTATTAGGTCATGAAGTCATTAATGGAATTAGTGCCCTTATAAAAGAAACCCCAGAAAGCTCTTCCTTCCATCATGTGAGGTTACAGCCATCTATCAGTGAGAAAGTAGACCCTTGTCAGACACTAAATCTGCCAGCACTTTGATCTAGTACTTTTTAGTCCCCAGAACTGTGAGAAGTCTATTTCTATTATTTACCTAGTCTATGGTATTTTGTTATAGCAGTCTGAATGGACCAAGACAGAAATCTTATGGTAAGGCCTGCTAAAATAGTAGAGACACAGAGAAAATATTAAAAGCAGCCAGAGCAAAAAAGGCACATTACTTTCAAATGGGGGCAATAATAAAACCTATAGCTAACTAATCACCAGAAATAATGAGAACCAGAAGAATGAAAGTATCCTTAAAGTACTGGGGGAAAAAAAAAGCCAACCCAGAATTCTGTATCCACAAAAATATTAAAAATGGTAAGATGCAAATATTTCAGACAAGTAAAAACTGAGAGAATTCGGAGAATGCTATTAAAACCTACACTATGATAATAGCAAAGGGAGAATATGATCCCACATGGAAGTAGGGAATTGTACGAAGGCGCTACAAGCAGTGAGACAACATAAATATATGGGTGGTATGCATGAATGTTGATGATACAAACAATAGCAGCAGTATATTGTGGGGTCATAAATATATGTAGAATTCAAATGCCTAACAATGATAATGCAAAAACATGAGAGTAAATGGAGTTCTAATGTCCTAGTATTTTCAGGGAAATGGTAAAAGGAATAATTTGTATTATACTGTAAAGCCAACTGGCTAAGGATGCACATTGTAATCTCAATGGAAACCACTAAAATTAAGTAAAAGAATGAATAAAAATTAAGACATGGGAAACATTTAAGAAAATATTTGATTAATCTTAAAGCAAAGTAGGAATCAATGAAATATAAAACATGCATACAATATAGAAAGTGAACAAGTCCAGTTACTGGCTCTTTGAAGAGGTTAACAAACTTGATAAACTCCTAGCAGGATTCTTCAAGAATAATCTTACTTTGGTTTGACATTTTAAAACTCGGTTAATGTGGCCGGGTGGGGTGACTCACACCTGTAATCCCAGTACTTTGTGAGACTGAGGCAGGCTGGATCACTTGAGGTCAGGAGTTCGAGACGAGCCTGGCCAACTGGTGAAGCTTTGTCTCCACTAAAAATACAAAAAGTAGCTGGGCACGGTGGTGTGTGCCTGTAATCCCAGCTACTCAGGAGGCTGAGGCAGGAGAATCACTTGAATCCAGGAGGCAGAGGTTGCAGTGAGCCAAAATCCTGCCACTGCACTCTAGTCTGAGCAACAGAGCGAGACTCTGTCTCAAAAAGAAAATAAAATAAAAAATACAATCTGTTAATGCAATTTGTCACTTTAATAGAGTAAAGTCGTGTTATCATTTTATTAGGTTCAGAAAAAGCATATGATTAAATTCAATATTAACATATTCTTTTCAAGTTCTTTTGGCAAGCTAGGAATATATTCTGATAAAGAACCATACCAAAAAAAAAACCAAAAAAAACAAAAAAACCTGCAATTCATAGCATTCTTATTCTGATAAAGGCATTCCCATTTCCATCAGGAACAAAACACAAATGTCTCCCTTGATCATTTTTATTCATTAAATTGGTGAACCCATCCAGCATGGTTGGAACTCCCTAAAAATAAAACTAGTAGGATCGAAAGAAAAAAAATTACACTGTTATTATTTCCAGCTAGTATGTTTAGATAATCAAAGACTAGAAGAAGCTATATATTATTAGAAAAAGAAAGTTTATAGCAAAGTTGTAGAATACTTCAATATATAAAAGTTAATTGTATTTTTAAATCCCTTTTATGATTGAATAAATATTAAAGTTAATTAGGAATACATCTAGCAAAATATTTGTAAAACTTCTGTAGAATTGGAAAATTTTAAAGATAACCTAAATAAATGTAGAGATATGCTATTATTTATGGATGCTTTTGCTGTGATATTCTAATATGGTTTTTCCTTACAGACTTTGCCTTCAAAAGAAACATTTTTAAACACTACCCAAATGCCTTGCCTGCAATCAGCTTCAACTTGGAGTAGCTATGAACGCAATTCAGAGTCTTACCTATTAAGAGACCATGTATCAGAGTTAGATTCCTCTTTCCATTCTGTTCTATCATTGCCATCAGGTAAGCCTCCTTGTAACAACTTCTAAGTAACGATATTTTCTATACTGAAATCTAATCCTCTAGATACACAGAATCTAATATAATCTTATTTTATCAATTTTTTTCAGTAGATATTAGAACTAAGCAATGCCTTGAGAACTAAATTTGTTATAGAGGAATTAATCTAGTCACATGCACTGTTAATGTTCTATCTGTGTAAGTTGATTCTTTAATTCCTTCTAAACGAACTTGATTTACTTTGGGAAATTACTAGGTTTTTATCTTGTTAAATTTTGAGCATTTCATTGGTAACACAGCTGTGCTGTTGAAATGTTTCTGAGTAACCGTAATTCAGTGTTCTTTTTCTAATGTACTGTTATACATGGAGGTTTCCCTGCCATAAAATATTTCTCCATTTATAATCTGCATTGAATTTCTCAATGCAGAGGGAAAACTGCATACCTATAAGTATAGTCAACCTCAAGAGTATCAGTATTCTATAACTGAGTAAATGAGGCTTATACATCCTTACATCTCTAAAGTGTTTATTATTTTATTTATTTATTTATTTATTTATTTTGAGACAGGGTCTTGCTACTGTTGCCCAGGCTGGAGTACAGTGGCATGATCATAGCTCACTGCAGCCTTGACCTCCTGGGCTCAAGCAATCCTCCCACCTCAGCCTCCCAAGTAGCTGGAACTACTTGGGTGCATGACACCACACCCAGCTAATTTTTTAATTTTTTTGTAGAGATGGGGTCTCACTATATTGCCCAGGCTGGTCTTGAACTTCTAGCCTCAAGTGATCCTCCCACCTCAACCTCCCAAAAATGCTAGGATTACTCTAGGTGGTTTTCAATTTTCAGTTCTTGATTTTTGTGGAACCTTTTACACTCTTGTCTATATTGGAACTAAAGTAAATATTTAGGGGAGAAAGAAAATATCCCTCACATTGGTTATCTCAGGTTCTTCTCTTTATTAGGGGATATCTCAGCTTGGCTTTTGTTCCATTTTCCGCTTACAGTTCTAATGGTCTTTTAAATTCTCAAAATCAAGGGACTGATCCTATTTGTAAAGCTCTGTGTTTTGAACCTGTCCCCCTGCCCTGAATCTCAATTTAGTTTTTATCAGTAGTAGAGTGGCTTCTTAGCTACACCATTACCTTGATTTAAGTTTCTAACAAGAACTGTTTTAGTCTATATTTAAGGAAACCTTAATAATATGAAGAAATAATCCATATAACAATAATAATGTAGCTAATATTTAGTATTAGCACATACTGAGCCATGTATATATTAAGCACATTACATTTTCTTGTTTAATTCTCACAACTCCATGAAAATAGATATTTTTGTTCTGCTCATCTGACATATGAGAAAACTAAGCTTCATGATATTACTCATCCAAGATTACTTGGCTAATAAATGATGAGCCAGGATTTGAGGTAGTCATTCTCCAGAACCAAACTCCTCACCATTACTTTACTGCCTGTTTTCTTATTAGCAAATATATTTCTCTGATGACATAACCCTGAGAGCTGGTATAAATACTCCTTATCCTAAGACTCTTATGCCTCCCCTAATAAATAAGATTAGATTGTTTATCTACTATTTCGTTATATCCATTCCTTCTTACATTCAATAAAAATCTCAATACTTACTATATGTAAGTACTAAATAAATGCTAGGAGTATAAATACAAATAAATCCCTCAAGGTACTTGCATTCTAGTTTAAAACAACTGAAAGGTAAACTAATAAGTACAATAAAAGGCAATGAAATAGTTTTACAAAAGCTGACAGGTCACGTGTGGGTATTAAGAAAGGAATATAGACAGAACAACGACCTTTTCTTGTTAAATCATGTTTTTGCACAAATCACAAAGAACAGTGGTAGAATTGGTGATACTCTCCTTATAACATTGCTTTGGAGAAACAAATGCAACAAACTTATGTTTAGGTAATTGGAAAATATCAGAATCCTGAAATGTTTAAGGAGCATTTTAAAGAAGAATATTTAATTTTTATTCCCATTTTCATTTTGTCACCTAATTTTCATATGATCATAATACCAAGATTCAAACTCATCTTACATCTGTCCCTTGGAACAAATTCCATGATGATACTCATCAACTAATTTTTGTTTTGCATATTTTCCCACACTTGAGTATGGATCTGCCACTAAGATACATCCTTTGAAGAAGAGAGAATTTTTTTCTGTTTAAAATCCAGACCCAGCCAGGTGGGCACAGTGGTTCATGCCTGTAATCCCAACCCTTTGGGAGGCTGAGGTGGGAGGATTGCTTGAGCTCAAGAATTCAAGATCAGACTGGGAACACAGTAAGACTTTGTCTCTAAAGAAAAACATTTTTTTTAATTAGCCAGGCATGGAGGTGTGCACCCGTAGTCTCAGCTACTTGAGAGGCTGAGGTGGGAGGACTGCTTGAGCCCAGGAGGTTGAGAATGTAGTGGGCCAGAATCATGCTACTGCACTCCAGCCTGGGCAACAGAGCCAGCCCCTGTCTCAAGAATAAAACAAATAAAAAATAAAATCCAGGCCCTTCCTGGGTCTATCTTCATTTATGTATTCAAATTAAGTTTCCTTACAGTACCTTCTTTCAATAGCCAAATTTTCATTATTAACTGAGTTATAAAATATGTTTTCAAGGAAAAGTTAAGTGTCTCTTTTATTTTCATTCTTGGTTGAAAGAAAAAACCTTTAGTAAATGTGAAGCATAACTACTACATTGCTTAACTCCTCTTTGGTTGTGAGAGTACAGAATACAAACATAGTGAATTGAAAGTCTCCAAGCCTCTATTTAGAAACAAAACTAGGTTGTCAACAGGTTTTAACCTTTATAAAAGTAGATTCATTGTGATATATAATATAGTAAAATAAGGGAATGTGAACTTTGATGTTTTCATAAAAGGTTGCATCTGACTTATAGTGGTTTTCTCCCAAGAAGTTAAAAGTATGTAATTTTTTGGAAATTTCATTATTTCAAATGCAAAGTTTGTAGGGATGGGATGGGAATGGATTTAGCAGGTGTAGGTTTTCTTAAAGACTTCTTGGGTATATTTGTTTCCATTCATCTGTGAATAGTATTTATTAATATTTAGAAGTACTGTTCATCTTATGTACTATTTCAGGAAGTTCATGAAGTTGTTTCTCTGTTAGCTTTTTAATTTGTTGATTAAGTGCACCTAACCAGTAATTTCTAAAATACTGCTACCAACATGCTTGGAAAGAGTATTCTGTCAATTCTGATAGTTGTTACATTTCAAACTTTTGCTTATTTTCTTAAGCTTATGTGCTATTTACAGAAAGAAAGCAATTTTAATGTTACAATCTGTAATCCAAGTATTACAAAGAGTGGTATTTGAAAATACCTTTTTTACTTTATTTTTCCAGATGTGCCTCTTCATTTTCACTTTGAAACACTGTTAAAAAGGACTGAAATAAAAGGCAATCTTGCTGAAAATAAATTTGTAGATGAATATATCATATCTCCATCACCTGGTATGTCACATTTACAGTTCTTGTACTTTATATGCCTTTTTATGTCTTTATAGTTACTATTTTTGCATTCTAAGGAAATGAAATTTAACAAAAGAATAAATGAAAATCTTTAATTTTTAATACTCACTTTTTACAAACCATGTACACAAAAAATACAAGAACAATCTTAACATGAAATGTGCAATACCTATTGAATAATTATGAACTATTACTGATAAATATAATAAAAATTTAAATAAATATGGAAAAACAGTATTTCTGTATGGTAAGATTAATAAAGATATAAATTCTTCCTAATAGTTCATATGATTAATGTAATATAACTTGAAGTTCTCATAGAATTTGTTTAACTTAAAATAATTCTAAAGCACAATGGGAAGACTAAACAGGGGAAAATATAAAAGGAATTACTATAAAAGTTTAGAGAAAATCTAGCCAACCCACATATGGAAACATGACAAAAATCTATAATAATGTAGATTCTATTTTGCTCCTATTTAAGAAAATAGATCAATGAAATAAACTCTATAGTTGATTATATATGAGGGAAGAATTTTTTATCAGTGGGAAAGTGGAACATTTCCCATGGAGAAAATATTACTGTTAGTCTTTCCCAGTAGAATTCTTTTACATACTCATTTAATGCTATTAATCAGAATAACTTCTAGTTAATTCCAAGAATTGTACATAAAACGTTAAAACTACAAAATAAAACTTGAGGAAATTATAACGAAATGTTTATGAGTTCTATGAATGTGGGTGAATTCTATGCTTGGAAGCAATTAGAAGAAGAAAGAAAACAACATATTTTGATTAACCACAAAGTTAAAATCTAAATATCAGAAAAGTCTTATAAATTTAATATAAATTATTTCTATATGAAATAATCTACCTCAAAAACTCAAGTGAAATGAATACCTGTTAGAACTGGGGTATTATAAAATAAATTTATAAAAATAACAGCTTTTATAAGTACCAATAGTAACTAGATAGCCTATGTAAAGGAATAAAATATGTTAGACACATTGACAATGAAAATATAAAGTATTTTCCATCAAACTTAACAAGTACCTACATGAGGACTACTTCAAAAGTTTAGTGAGAAACATGAGGACATTCCTAGATGGAGAGAAATATCCTCTTCCTGTCAGAAGACAGTATCATAACTGAAGTTGTCAATTTTCCCTAAATTAATCTACAAGTAGAATATAATCCTAATCAGAATCAGAGGTATTATTGGAACAAATTTATTCTGAAGTTTATCTCAGACAGAAAATGTTGAATAAATTTTTAGAAGATTAATAGCAGGACTATGAAGTTATAATCATGAAAACATGGTTCTGATAGAAGGCAGATCAAGGGAGCTTAAAAAAATTCCAGAGACAGAAGTTGGTATTTCCTACTATGTTGAAAAAATGACTTAGTCAATAAAGAATAATGACAACAACAAATTCTTATGAAGCATTATTTATAGGTCAGCACTGGTTGAAGAGCTTTATATTACTTATTTAAGTCTGTATAACTCTGTGAGGTAGGTATTATTATTCTCCTTGACTAATCTTCCCCAAATTACAGTTGAGTAATAGAAGAGCCAGAATTCAAACCCAAGCAGTCTGGCTTGGAGCTATGCTCTATATAACCAAGTTTCCTTTGTAATCAAAGGCATTAAATAACGACTCTTTGGAAGAATTAAAAAGTGAGATCATTAACTCACAAAGTGCTTTAAAACAAATTTAAGTTGGATGAACATTAAAATACATTTCAGATGGATTAAAACGTTCAATGTTAAAAATGAATGTCTTAAAAGAATAACAAGAAAAAGTGTACTTGATGATAATCAAAATAATAATATTAACTGAGCTTATAGTCAGACACTATGCGAAAGTTTACTACTTTTGCCTGTAATATTAATGATTTTAAACATAATCATCAAGTTTGCACAACTATAGTAAAAATAGCGCTCTCAAATATCTTGGATATTAAGAATTGATACAAGCCTTTTGGGGAACTCTGCGAAATGCATTACAAGGCCTTTAAACTATGTATTTTTTTATAAGTTCAGTGTGGCTTAAAAACTCCCTTGTTTACTTTTGTACCTATTCCCCATAAATGTTTACTGACTGTTAACCCTATGTTCTGACCCAATTATTCCATTTCCAAGAATCTAGTCTAATCCTAAATATGAAACCTTTATTCACAACTATATTCATCTTATCATGTTTTTGTGATAATGAAAAATTAGCGACAACTTGAAGAGCACAATAGGGATATGGTTAAATATACTACAGTGGAATATACAGCCTTAAAAAATATCTTAAAAGTTCATATAAAGATGGAAACATACTCATCAAAGAATGTTGTGATATAAAAGGATGAAAATATTTTACTTGTGTGTCTGGTACAATTATAGCCATGTAGAAATATTTATTCTTATATCAACCAAATGCAATGTGTGGACCTTATTGAGACTGATTTGAATAAACCTGCTGTTTATATACACACACATAATTTTTGAAACGAGAAATTTGAACATGGACTAGCTGTTAGATATTAATGAATTATTGTTAATTTTGCTACTTGTAATAATGCATTGTGGTTACATAAACCCAGATGCACTTTTTCAGTTTGTTAGAGATTGACACTAACATATATGCAGATGAAAAGATATGTCTGGGATTTGCTTTTGAATATTCTAGCAAAAATGTTGGTGGGAGAGATGAAATAAGATTCGTTGTAAGTTGTTCACTGCTGAGACTGACGGATAGGTATATGGGAGTTCATTATTCTAGTCTCCTTTTGTGTTTATCTGAAATTTTTCCACAGCAAAAATTAAAGAGAAAAAAGATGAAGGCACCAAGGATGAAAAACAATTATCTATGCTAAGGGGAAAAAGCCCAAAATACAGAAAAATATAAGTAATATGTGCAGTTACCTTTTAATGATGCGAGTTCACTTGTTGGAATCTGTCCTAAGACTAGATTTTTTTCAAAAGGGAAAAAAATGTATCCATGAAGATGATTATTTTAAGAATGTCTTTAATAGCATTATCATTATGTTGATAAGTATCATGGTCAACAGCTAGGAAATAGCTAAAGAACATTGTTTCTAATCAGAGGAATGTTATACAGCCATCTGAAAAAATAAGAGTTGTGATAAAAGTATAAGTATACATTTAATTAAAATTATTTCATATTTGATATATGAAATATAAAACGTATTATTGACTGAAAGAGTAGGCAAATATGAAAATATATGCTATTAGAGATTAATTATGTTTCTTTTAATGTTGTTCTACTATTTGATTTAAAAAAATAAGGCAGGTTGGGCGCGGTGGCCTACACCTGTAATCCCAGCACTTAGGGAGGCTGAGGCAGGAGGATCACTTGGGCCCAGAGTTCAAGACCAGCCTGGGAAATATAGTGAAACCCTATCTCCACAAAAAATACAAAAATTAGCTGGGCATGGTGGTGTACACCTGTGGTCCTAGCTACTTGGGAGGCTGAGGCAGGAGGATGACTCAAGCCTGGGAGGTTGAGGCTCCCACTGAGCCATAATTACACCACTGCACCCCAGGATAGGTGACAAAGTGAGACCCTGTTTCTAAAAAAATAAAAAACAAAAAATAAGGCAGTTAAACGTGTTAGGCACACAATTAAGGGGAATGCATGAATAATGTAATGAGAAATTTCATCCTATATATCTGTCTTAAATAGCTGGTCATTAATTTTTCTTTTGCTGTTAGTGATTAGAGTTCAGAATTTATTAAGCACTTAGTGCCAGGCACACTATTAAGTGCTGAAGAATCAAAGGTGAATTACAGGAAGTCAAAGTTGTAATGGAGGAAGACACAAATAACTGTTATATAGTATAACGGGGATAAACACATTTGAAGGCTGAGTGTGGTGGCTCATGCTTGTAATCCCAGCACTTTGGGAGGCTGAGGTAGGGGGATTGCTTGAGCCCAGGAGTTCAAGACCAGCCTGGGCAACATGGCATGGTGGTGCATGCCTGTAGTACCAGTGACTTAGGAGGCTGAGGCAGGATTGCTTGAGCCTAGGAGCTCGAGGCTGCAATGAGCAATGATCGCACCACTGCACTCCAGCTTGGGTGACAGAGTGAGACTCTATCTTAAAAAGAAATTATATAAGATATAAATAAGAAGGAGTATGTAACTCTGCTTAGAAGGCAGAAAAAGAGAGGTTAAGGGAGATGAGAAATGGGCAAGGAGAGGAACTCTAGAAAGATGGTGATGCCAAGTGCAGCTTCAACTACTGAATTGGAATTTACAGAGAAAGAAGGATGAAGTGTTCCAGATTAGTGCTTCTCAAACTTTAAAATGTAAACAAGTTACTTTGGGGATATTGTTAGAATGCAGATTCTGATTTAATAAATCTGGAATGGGACCTGAAATTCTGCATTTCTAACGAGGTCCCAAGTGATTCGGATGCTGTTGGCCCATATTGAGTAACAAGTCTTTAAAGAACAAAAACAAACATATGTCTTGTCATGGAGAAATGACACAGTATGATATATTCAAATATCTATAAATAAGGACAGGTGCAGTGGCTCACGCCTGTAATCCTACCACTTTGGGAGGCTGAGGCGGGTGGATCACCTGAGATCAGGAGTTTAAGACCAGCCTGGGCAACATGGTGAAACCCCATCTGTACTAAAATACAAAGACTGGCCAAGGGTGGTGGTGCACGCCTGTGGTCCCAGCTACTTGGGAGGCTGAGGCATAAGAATCACTTGAACCCAGGAGGCGGAGGTGCAGTGAGCTGAGATGGCACCATTGCACTCCGGCCTGGGCAACAGAGCAAGACTTCATCTCAAAACAAACAACAACAAATATCTATAAATAACTTGGCATTCCGGTAGGGCAAATTGCGTGAAGGCAGTAGACAGATCTTTGCTTGGATTTATCCTGTATGGTCCATTAGATTTGGCAGTTTACAATGGAATTGCTGATTTCAGGCAACAAGCAGAGAAAAGCCAAACTGTAGTGGGATGAAAAGTGAATGATGACTAGTTTAATCATGATGACTAGTTTAATCATGAGGAATACCAGACAAAACCAATTTAAGAGTTTATACTTATCAAAATATTCAAAGTTATTAAAGTTATGGAAGACAGTAGAACTGTTTCAGATATGACCTTAATGAGATCTGACAATTGCAATGCCATCTGCAATGAATAGTTGAAATTATCTGTAAATAACATTATAGAGATATTGGTGAAATCTGAATAAAGTCTATAGATTAGCTAATGGCACTGAACTGCATGGCTACATAAGAGAATGTCCTTTGTTTTCAGAAATACATTGATGTTTTTAGGGCTAAAGGGGCATCATGTCAGCAACTAAATTTCATTTGTGGTCTGAAAGGAGGAGGTAAAGCAAATGTGATACGATGTTAACATTTGGGGGATTTCAGAAAAGGGTCTACAGAAATTTGTTCTATTTCAAGTTTTCTGTAATTCTGAAATTATGTCTCAGGTAGATGGAAGAGGAGGAACAATAGCACCATAACCCACACAAGCAAGCCAGAAACATAAAGCTCAGTTTTTGTCACCTACACTTCCTCCTGTCTAAACCAATTGCCAAGTTGTCAATATATGATCTTATGTGTTTCCTTTCTTGCCTTCGACTACTCTCACAGTCCACCATGATCTCTTACCTATACTTCTGAAATAGACTTTTAATCCATGTTTCCCCTTTAATCACTGTAGGCAGTGATCTCTTCAAAATGCAAATCTAATGTCACACCTGCTCCCCACACCATCCCGTTAAAACATTCGAGAAGGAATATTCTTAACACCTTAAAGCCCTATCTACATAGGCTGGCCCCTCCCTCATGATTCTTTCTCACCATGCTTCCTTACTCTACACTACATAGCTGTTCAGTTCCCAAACTTGTCCTGTTCCCTTGGGCCATTGTACATGCTATTCTCCTCCTTCCCCTAGCTATCAGCTATTTCTGTTGATATTTAGAATCTATGACTTCATCTGGGGAAGCCTTTCCCAGAGCTCTTACTAGTACTCTTATACATTCTCAGTAACATCATGTAGTTTCACAACTGAAATGCGTATTCTTCTATCACGTTACGATTGCATTCCTTGAAATAACACCTGTAAACTACAAGGGCTGCTACAAATCCTAGTTTTGCTTACCTAGGGTTTAGAATAGTGCTTGCCATGTAATTGGATCTCTGTAAAGTTGTTGGATGAATAAAAGGGAAGGAAGTAAAGACAGGATATATGAGAAATGCTATCAAAGTGTGATCTTAGGATGAACTCTACGAGAGGATTGGGAGAGCAAGAACTGAAAGGCTGGGAGGTTTATCAATAGAACAGGTGAAGAGGATGTGTAGAATTGTCATACATTTCCTACTATTTCAAGGGTCCATGAAAACCTTACAAGACAATAACGAATTAGAAGGAAAATGATAAATGTGAAGAAAACATTTGAATAAAATTTAATTTAAAAATCAACTTCTGTGAAAGTTAAGATTCTTTCACAAAGTTTGATGTTTTCAGAAGAGTGGAAAATTGCTTGTAGAAAATAAGAGAAACGTTAATTGTCTACAGTTTGCTTAAATGCTACAGCAAAATGTTATTAAAAGAATGGACACTTTTAATACCTATATACGTTTTAACATATACATTTTAAAATCCACCTCTCACAATTCTAGTTACCATTTTAGTAAGTTTAGATTACTCCTGCCATGCTGTTTTTTGTATTAATAACTTTCAGGGTATCATCATCTGTGATGCACTTATGATTTAATTTTCATTTGCTGTTTGACATTCAGGTGCATTGTTGAAATCTTAGGGTTTAATATTGATTCTGGAAAACACTTCAACTATCTTCAACTATTCCCTCCTTTTCATTCTCTCTAGTCTCATCTGTTACCCCATTCTGGTCTTTTTCTCTCCATATTTTCTATCACTCTATTCCATCAAGATATGGAATTCCTCTTCCAGACCTTGATTTTGATTTTCAGCTGTTTCCATTGTTACTTAGCCTAGTGATGATTTTAACATTTGGACAATTGTATTTTCTATTTCTGACACTTCTCCAGAGGGCCTCTTACCTGTTTCTCTTGGCAATATTAACTGTTAAAAGAGTTGCTAATATGTATTCCATGAATGCTCCATTATTTCTTGAGATGGTTCTCCACTTGTGGTTTGTACCTGTTTTTTGATTTAGTGTTGGTATTCAGATTTTTGGAGTTTTCTATGCTCATCATTGAAGCTGTGATACTCAGTTAAAACTGTTCTACCACTGCTGTTTATGGGACACTTCTGATGGGAAGGGAATTTATACTACATTTGAAATTTTCACACTAATTTGGGGATGGGCCGGACATTTCAAAGCGGGGCACTTTGGCATTGCCTTCTCTCTCCAACCATTCATTTATCTGCCTAAAGCTGATTTTGTTAGTCTGACTGAGATATTGACATATGCAGTCAATATCCAGATAGTTGTCCTGCTTCCAATTTTCCTTTCTTGTGGGTCTAGACCACCTTTGGTGGCATCGCACCTCCTTGTGGCAGTACTTCACTGTGTGCTTCTGCTCTGGGTTTCCTCTTCAAATTCCACATAGTATTAGTCTTTCAGAGATTCCTCAGAAATTCTGCCTTATAAGTTCCACTTTTTGCTTGCAAATATGGATTTATATGTGCATATCTGTGCATGTACCTATGTAAAAAGTATTTGTCTATCATATTTAGGGTCATTTGCCATCTTGAAACCAGACGCTCCTTGTCAGCTGGTAGGCCATGCCCTTTATTTCAATAGTGTGAGTTTGGCACTTCAGCTTACATATTTCTTTTTCCACTCCTTTCCACATCTCCAAACCTTTCAAAAAAGGAAGCCAATTTGGTTATTAGACCAAGGCTGGAAATAAGGGGGTTCAGATATACAATCATGGTAACGCTAACATTTACTGAACACTTATCACGTCAGATGTTTTTACTTACTGCTACAGGAATAAACTCAAGTAATCATTATAAACCCAAGGTCGCTATTATCCCTATTTTACAGATGATGCAACTAAGGCATCAGAGATGTTAAATGATTCAGGTTCTTGCTCTAGTCTCACCATGTTGAATCTTACTTGGTCCCAAATGATTTCCAGATTTAGGGTAAGCAAGAACTTAAAGATTCTGATGATCGCCAGGATTTATGTATCTGAGCCAATCCTCACTCTATGAAGTTTCTGTAATTTGGAAGACTTTGAGAACAGATCATCTTCCCTTTTCATTCCCCTCAAAAAAAATGAAGAAAATACAAGAAACTGGAAATTCCTGGGGATGTTTTTAGTTGGAGTTGTCTGTCTTGGTATTTAAGGTTATATTTATCTGTAATTTTGAAATGGTATCTTAAAATTCTGCAGTTACAAATAAAAACAGATTAACATGTTCACTGTGTTAAGGAACTAAAACTTAAAATTTCCTTTTCATTTGTTTTAGTACATAGTACTTCTCTGAATCAATGGAGAAATGGATATTCACCTATACGTAAGCCTGAAATAAGGTCAGAATCTTCTGCACAACTGTTACAGGGAAGAAAGAAAAGACATTTGAGTGAAACAGCATTAGGTAGGTTAAAGTGAGGATATAAGCAGTAGTGATGTTAAAAATAAAAAATTCTGATTTTAAAATAACCTGTCTCATGGGAGTTTATAATCCAGAACAGCCACTAATTACACAAAACATCTATGACTCTACAAACATGAAACAGCATATTCGTAGTTAATTTAGAATTATTTGTGGACTGGTATCTACCTACTTTATGGCAATTATTTCCCTCCTATGTTCCCTGACTAGTTGTCTTCTACCAATCACTCCCTGGATGGGATTTAATCTTCAAAGTTGTGTTTTAGGCTCAAAATAGGCTAGTGTAAAGTTGCCTTATAGAAACTGTTAACCATTTATGGTACCTACTGTGGAGATGCTGATGCACTGCAGATTCCTCAGGATTTTGAGAAAGTGAACAAGCTTCAAGTGAAATGCTAAACTACCCTGTTCAATTCTCCTTACAAGCCTATAGAGTTCCAAGATGATCAAGAGAAAGCTTTGGAAACTAGAACTCTTCTAGTAATATAAAGGGATTTATTTTGGAGATTTGGGACAAGATAGTTGCCACAGTTATTGCAAATGATAAAAAATAAAAATTAACTGGCAAGATAAATTAGAAACTACACCCAAGATGTATTAATTATACAGAATGGATTTAATCTGTTTATCTCTGGTGTCTTCAGATATCCCACGATAAAAGACCTACCTAGTCACTACCTGATAACTATCTGATCAGCTACATTGTAGCAAAAAGTGAACAAATTCCCACACATGTTCAGAGCTGGTTTCATTAGGCTCTTTAGTGTCTCACTCTAAGAACAACCAAGTCTTCACCTAGCTTTTGAGGAACTTTCATATATGCATACCAAAACATAACTAAGCTTTAAAAAAAAAATCTAATAAGATGCAATATGAAGTATACACTTCCTAAGGTATAAAATGTTTCTCTTAAATTGACTGATACTTTAGCTCTAACTTCAAGTTTGATGTGCATACAGGAATAAAACAAAGAAATGTCATACTACACAGAAATAACTAGATAATTCCAAAAGGATAGGACATCTGGTCCAGCCTGTCAAGTCAATGTAATGAAAAATGATTTATTCTAGACTATAAGAAACCTACGAGACAATGGCCAATTTTAACATGTAGATCCTTATCTGAAGAAACTAGCTATAAAGGACGTTTTTAACAAATGGAGAAATGTAAATATGGACTAGGTATTAGATTTTATATTATACAGGAAAATATTCTCATTTTAAAAGATCTGTACTAAAATAAGGGCAGTACGTAAATGCATACATATATATATTTACTGTATACACACACACAACAGGGAACCAAAACAGGGAAAAAAAGGAACTTGGAAGAAATACAGAAAATACTAATAGAAGTAAACTTCTAATCAATATCCTGAGAGAAATGAGAAATTTCATCTATGAAACAAGAACAGGATGCTATTTAAAAAAAAGAGTACTAGAGAACAAGTACTTTTGGAAATATGTATTTTAATAGCAGCATTTTTTAAAAAAATTCAGAGTGTTCAGAAGACCAAGGACAGACACCTCACAGAAATTAGAATAAAAAGTCAAATATGAAAAATGAGACTAGATAAGAAAACTAAGATAGTTCTGGTGGTTCAACCACAAATAGGAGTCACAGGAAACAAGAATAAAGGAATGAGATGAAGGATTATTCAGGGAACAATATGAAATATATTGGATAAAAACTGCCAAAACCCCAGAAAATGGAGATAACTTATGGCATGACTGTAAGACTCCTCTTTTTTCATTTCCTTTTTTGTTTTCTAATATACGAATTAAAAAAAAAAAAAAACAAAAACAAAAAAGGAATCAATCACCTGTCATCTAATTAGGAAAGTAATTCTAATGATACCTATTAGTCATGTTTAATGTGTGATATTCAATGGCTCTTTCCACGGCAGGAGAAAGAATTAAACTTGAAGAATCTGATTTTCAACACACAGAATCAGGATCCCATAGCAATTTTACAGCTGTTTCTAATGTCAACGTTTTATCAAGAATCCAGAATTCATCATCACGAGTAGGTTTTTCTCTATGTTGAACTCTAAAATGGCTTTAAAAATAAAAACACCTGATTTTGAAAATAATTTGTATTTTGCTAATCTATAACAGGCTTATTTACTAGCACATATTAATAGACATTTATAACTATCTTGTTAGAAAACAATAAATTTGATTTATACAACTTATTTTTAACTATGAAGCTAAAAGTTCATTAATATTTGGTTATAGCTTCTTTTTCGGTGTTAAAAATTTAGATTATCATGATCATCTCTATTCCTTAACATATGAAGCTAAATAAAATCTTACTAATGAGAATTCAGGACTTGTCTTGTTCTTATCCTGCTTTTTTGGTTATCTGGCCAGGGTACAGAGAGGTCAAAAGGTGGCAGTGTTTAGAAATGAACAGTCTGAAGCTCAGGAACCAGGAACGCACAAATGAAGAGTATACTGAAGGGCTGACCAAAAATATTTCACTGCCTTTCCTAATAAAAAGTGGGTTACTGATCATTTCATTGACATTTAGGGTGATGTATGTTAGTCTTTTCTGATAAAGAGTTTTGCATTTAAGACATTTTTTTTTATGGTCTTAAAAATAAGCTTGTATGTTTACATTACACATCTACCAAGAGATTGTTCTGATTTACAAAATACAGAAATATTTTCTTACTTAGTTTTCTGAACACATTTTAGACTTTATAACAATGTATTTACAAAAATTATGTAACATGTGTACTGCCATATTTATATAACTGATGAAAGAAGGGTATCATTAGAAGTAACTAGACAGTACTGTAAATCTACTGTAATCCTGCTTTGCAGAATACTGCACGACGGAGATTGAGAAGTGAGAGCTCTTATGACATAGATAACATTGTGATTCCCATGTCATTAGTAGCCCCAGCTAAATTAGAGAAACTCCAATATAAGGAAATACTTACTCCAAGGTACGTATACTTACATCTTCATATTTTTCCTTCTTCCTTCCTTCCTTAATAAACTTAAATTTTCAAAGTGAAGTTCGAATTTTAATTAATCAAAGGAGGATCCTTCTCCCAGTTCTTTCATAGCCATGGAGGGGAAACGGTGAAAAAAAAAAAAAAATTACTCATGCCTTTAGAAAAAGTGTTATATAGTATCACGTTTATTTCTGAGTTTTTATTAAGATTTGGGAATTCCTAGACTACTTTAGCATTCTTAGTCTTTATTATTCAATGTCATTTAGTTATCTACTGTGTATATGACACTAAAAGGCACTTTAGTGACATAAAAACTATAGCAACAAATAATCCTTGCCCTTAAAGATACAGGTGTGACATAAGTTGCAAAGAGTTTTGCCTTTTCATGGGGTATTCACACTGTAAGACAGTAATACCTGTGACCAAAAAAAAAAAAAAAAAAAAATGGTGATGTATTGCCAAGTCAGCAATAAACACATTCAAAAGATGAGTGGGAAGGTCTGGGAAGTCACCCATGAAGGAATGGGAAGGTGGAGACGGTATTTACATAGCGATACCACAACAAAGGCACAGGACAAGTGTGTAAGGTTTAGCCAGATACTGTTTTGTGCAGGTTGATAATGGGAGGCTAGAAACAAAGTTAGGTCCAGATTGTGGAGGTCCCTGAATGCCATACGCAGATCTGCTCCCTACTGGCAGTAAAGTTAGCCCAACTTTTTAGAAATGATGAGTGCAGTTTCTTAAGAATATAAATATGACACCAGGAAGTAGAGACAGAAAAGGTTGCAAACAGAGACAGGTGGGTGACAATTTCAGTTAATTGCTATACATCTCTATTCTAATTTCATAATTTCTTTCATTCATAATTACCTTGAGGTATCAAGAACTCTAATATTCTATAAGAGTTCTACTATGAGAACTCCTATAATCTGTGGATACTTGTTGCATAAGTAATGAGTAACATTTGTGGCTATGATGTTCTATAGCAAAAATATATTTCAACTTGCAATGGTAGGCTGGAGCTAGCTGGCTGAGTAGATAGTTAAATATAGAAGACTTCTGTGAGCCAGTTATTAAACTACGGATGACTCAAAAGGGGCTATGGTAGGTATTTTCACACCAAAGAAACTGGCAAACATACAAACCAGGGTTTTTTTCCTTCTGTTACTTTTTGGCCAGGCCAGGTTTATCAGCATACCACTAACTTCAGTCAGTACATAATTATGATGTATAAAATGCAGCTATACAGAACAGACTATTCACCATAAAGCCAAAAGTCACGTCTCATTTTCTCTTTCATCCTTTACTCATAATACAAATATTTTTCTTTTAAAAAAATTAAGTATTAAAACACAATTTGAACCATGAAGTGCCAAGGAAAGAAAATACTAATACACTTAGCTGTGCTTAGAGTATAAAATTGCCACAGTTAGATAAATAAAAGCTGTTTAACATTGGTTTTTCTCTTCAACAGCTGGAGGATGGTTGTTCTTCAGCCTTTGGATGAATATAATTTAGGCGAAGAAGAGGTAAGCTGCCTTTCATTTAATGGGATAATTATACATTATGTATAATGAAACCTGCTTGCTTTGACATTCAGGGAATTAAAGGAATATATAAACCCTTTAACTTACACTGATTTTTTTTTCCTTTCACTTATGAAAAGGAAGTTCTTTTAAAAGAATATTCAAAAAATGTTTTGTGCAAATTTGACTACCAGCATAATACACAAATACACAATAATTTAAAAAGCCAAAAAAAAAAAATACAGCATTTGTTTATGAGTTTTTGAGATACTGAATTTACATGAATATCCACATTCATTGTCAGTATTATATTTTTCTGCATGAGATTAGTCTCACTCATTATTTTAAGGTTTAAATGCCATTTTCAGAATCGTAGGGCCAATTTGCTCTTCAGTTTGGAAAATTTCAGACTTTAAAAAAGTAATGTGGTATATACATCATGTAATACCTGTAGAGTCTAGGGTGTAAGAGGAATCAGACATTAATGTTTCTGTAGTGAAATATTCATAGTTGAGTTGGATAAACACTAAAAATAGCCTCACATCATTACAGATCAGGCTATGTCACCAAATGAATTCTGAAAAATTTGTTTTTGCAGATTTTTGGATTTTGGAATTGCAGGTAAGGGGTTGTGAATATGTATGGATAAAATTTTATCAAGATAAGATTATAGGGAAAAATACTTTATAACCAAACTAATTCCAAAGTGATGGTCTCTAGAAGACACTGTTGAAGACACTTAGTTTCTGTCAAGTAACAATCTTTCTATGTCCAGTGGTCACGTTTTTCAACTACCAAAATTTACCTTTTAATGCCCTTTCCTCTTCTAATGTATTCTTCCTCATTTCTGAATGATCCTAGCCAAGAAACCCAAATTCTTTAATACCACAACCAAGGTAGTATTCCAGGTTCGAAACCTAGATAAGTCATTCCTTAAATTAATTCTGATTTAAGCTAGTTTTATACTTTTCTTTGATATTAACATCTTAGAATAGTGTGTCCTCCACAATCCATAAAAGCTCTTGAATGAACAAAGCATTAAGACTACTGGTACTAAGCTATGGCAAATGGAAAGCACTATGAACTCATTTGTAGTCTACCGAAGTCTTCAAATATGAACCAATAGTAAACAAGTATTTTTAAGTTTTTTGAGGTGGGAGGATCGCTTGAGCCCAGAAGTTCGAGGCTGCAGTGAGCTATGATAGCACAACTGCACTCACTACAGCCTGGGCAACAGAGACCCGTGTCTAAAAATAACAATAATAAAATAATTTTAAAACATTTTTGACTCCCCTTTTATAGGAATTTGAAGTTCATCTGATAACATTTGTTCTCTCAACTTACACAGATAGCATTTTAGTTTGCTTCCTACTGTTTTCTACATGAGAAACTCTTTGAAACCTTGAAACTCGATCTTGTATTTCTTTTTTTGAGACAAGAGTCTCACCCTGTCACCCAGGCTGGAGTGCGGTGGCACGATCTTGGCTCACTGCAACCTCCGCCTCCTGGGTCCAAGCAATTCTCTGCCTCAGCCTCCCAAGTAGCTGTGATTTCAGGCACCCACCACCACGCCCAGCTAATTTTTGTATTTTTAGTACAGACAGGGTTTCACCATCTTGGCCAGGTTGGTCTTGAACTCCTGACCTCGTGATCCACCCACTTTGGCCTCCTAAAGTTCTAGGATTACAGGCGTGAGCCACCGTGCCCAGCCTGATCTTGTATTTCAAAATGTTTCTGATTAAAGCAAAAATATTTATTTCTAATTCCAGATAGAAGATCTTTCTGATGAAGTCTTCTCCCTAAGGCACAAAAAATATGAAGAGAGAGAGCAAGCCAGGTGGTCACTATGGGAGCAAAGCAAGTGGCACAGAAGAAACAGCAGGCAGGTTATAAATTTAAAACCCCAAACCATAGAATTCATGTGAAATGAACAAAACCTCTGCATGAGTTTTTGGTGAGACCACTGAAAAGGAAACCATGATGTTGTAACATCAGCTATTTGTGCACCAGAAATAAAATACTACACAGAATGAGCTTGTATTCAAAATATATTTGAGCTAATTCTATAATGATGAAATTAGTTTCTGTATTTTACTGTTTCTTACATTGTCAGCCTCAGGAATAGATTTAACTAACAATGTGAAAATTCTCTGTATATATGAAGTAGTTCATTTCAATCTACTTTAATAATGGACCTCACACTGGGGACTGGAGTTTAGGTAATCCATTTTAACATCACTACTTCTAAAATATGTTTTTTTTTAAAAAATAAAAAATTTCTCAAGAAACCTGTTTAGTCTAAAATGCAAAAAAGCCTAAAATACTTTTAGAAACACAAATGAGCTTTGAGGGAAGGGGAAGTAAATCAGACATTATTATTATGTGAGAAAATCCCTGTTATTTTATATTTATTATACATTTGATCATTTTTAAAAGAGCCAAAACTCAAAAAGCAAGATTGTGTGAAGTCTGGTAGTCGTTTTAGTTAAGGAGTATCTTTTGTTTAATTAGTCAGACAAAAGACAAAAACAAACCAAATAAACAGCAAGAACACCCCTCCCCCTATTATAATTCGGTAAAATATTTCATAAAGTACTGTTTCATCCTCTGAGTACGAAAGTAATAAATAGCACCAGAGGAATTTTTAAAAATCTTTGGGCAAAACTGTTTAAAGTTACCAAGTTAACTTGACTCAGTGATACCTTGGGTTGTTCATAAATTTTCAAGACCTCAAAAAATAACAAATAATTGTGTTTTCCTGATTTTCTTGCTAGACCTTACAGTAAAAATGTTGAAGGACATGACTTGCTTTTGAAAGAATACCCTAATAACTTTAGTAGCAGTCAGCAATGTGCTGCTGCAAGTCCTCCTGAGCTTCCTTCAGAGAACCAGGATCTGTGTGCATATGGCTTACCTTCTTTAAATCAAAGTCAAGAAACCAAGGTAAGTGCAATATATATGATTAAACTTCTCATTCCTTGCCTTTTAACTACTTGTTTGTAGAAACTACTTGAAAAAAATTAATTTTCTTTATTACATCATTACATAACAAATTCAATAAGATAGTTAGGTAGAGAAGATCTGTATTCCAGCATTTTGTGTCCACTACTAACTACAGTCACCTTGTGTAACAAGTCAATACGAACCTCCAAGTACTCATTCATCTATTAGAGAATGGAGTACTATCAAAGTTTCATTACAAAACAAACCTGATTGATGAAGAATAGCACCTGCTACATGGCCAACGTTAGCTGCTATTTCTTTCTCCTCATATCTTAAGATTTTTACATGCCTCACCACAGACCCAGTTCCTACCTTAAAGGTGCTGCTTTCTAACACTGCATCCATAAAATTCTTACACCTTTCTTCATAAATAGACACAGAAAAAGATCTAGATCTAGAATGGAATGGAGATTATAGAATTAACAGGCAAGTTGCAGAAAGCTCAGGAAAGAAAAAGTTAATAGGTACCTTTAATAATGAAAATGAAGACATTGTAGAAGTATATCAAACCTGAGAACACTTTCCCAAAGTGCTCTTAGGTTGGAAATGAAGACCACTGCCTGTGGCAGCATTTCCTCTTCTTGGCAGAGGCAAAGTAAAGAAATGAATCCCAAAAGTCACTCAAGAATTCTCAGTATATTCCCTTTTGAGTTGCTATTTAAGTTGAAATGAAAAATTGTACAGTTATGTGCTAAAAGAACAGAACAATAATTATTACAATATAGATATGTACAGATTACTTGTTAGATGAATTTAAACAAAACACATTAGTTGAAACTTAACTGAAAATGTTTCCCCTTTCAGTCTTTGTGGTGGGAACGACGGACTTTTCCACTGAAGGGTGAAGACATGGCAGCCTTATTATGTGAAGATGAAAAAAACGATCGGGTTGAATGGTCAAGCACAGTTTTCCATGGTGAAATCTTCGGTACCAGTGTACCAGAGAATGGCCACCATCCAAAAAAGCAGTCAGATGGAATAGAAGAATACAAAACCTTTGATCTAGGACTTACTAATGTTAAAAAAAATAGGTGACAGGGAACAGGTTAAGAAAACTATGTAAATGTAGGAAAGATGGGAGGAAATAAAGCCCTGTTCTGGGTCTCCCATCCCCTCCAGAATAAGAGCATGTTCTGCATGTATTAATCTTTTATGCTGTTTATGAAACAGGCAAGATAAGTCTGTTTTTCCTTCTGGAACCACAAGGGTAACCAGCTTTTCATCTACAGACAAGTGGTAGTCATTTGTGTTTATCATGCAACTTACAAACACCAAGATATTAATTGCTGCAACTTGATGTCAAATCACCTTACTGGGTAATTTTTAAGACTATGTACCCACACCATACATACATACACATATATACAAACCTGTGCGCCAAGTGACAGCTATTTTTTTATATACATGGTAATTCATTAAAATTGCCTTAATATTAGAATATACAAATATGTGTGTATAAAATAAACATACACACACACATCCCCCTATGTAGTTTTTGAAACACTGGCAATGACCGACTCCCCTTGGAAATGCATGTATGAACTACCCTATGAAATGTAAGCTGCAGTATAGATAAAACACAGGTTTCCACTGATAAAAGACATCTGAACATCTTGAATATAGAGATTAAGTTTTTTGTTGTTTTTTTGTTTAACATGTTTAACCAACAGTAGAAGTTATTTACAGAAATTTATATACCAGATAACACAAAACTTCTTTATCCAAAATTATTGATCTCTTTGGGACTAAACACAGGCTACTTTCTGTTTACTCTTAACAAAATAAGGCAAGCAAATTTGAGTTAAATATTGGTGCAATTTAATACTATCACATCTTTGAAAACTCAATTTGAGTTTTACCAATTAATGTGTCTCATGAAGACACCAATTTAAAATGAGCCACAAACAGTGAAGTCCTATCAGTATAAAATTTCAAAAAAAAAAAATGATTGTATTTCTAGATTAGCAAGAAATTAGTAATTCTGTCTGATTTCTATTTCTAGCTAATTTGGTCATTCTTTGCCATAGCTTACTCTATTCAAATAGACATATATTCTTGCTTGCATCCTAGATTGGGAATTAAACATTTTCAAAAAACAAAGCTTCAATATTTGGATACTAAAGAGTATATATGAAAGAAAATTCCTTTTGAGGCTATAAAACCATTTTTTTATATGTGAAAGTTGAGGACAATTTATATAAATCACTTTTTGTCATGTAAAAAGGTTATTCAAGTTGTACTACCCACATAACTGAAAATATTGGCCATTTGGCCTAATCTCTGAGATTTGACACTAAGTTTTTGTTAGAGATTGGAAATTATACTAGTCCTTTTAAGGGGTAAAAAATCCAAATTCAATACTGACAAACTTTTGCTTGTAGTTTTACTGTACATTTATTTTTAAAGAAAAAGAAAACAAAAGCCAGACAAACCCAAGTTGTCCAGGCAAATAAACTCAAATCTTTGTCATGTCTGATATTATAATCTTCTATGTAAGTTTTTTAATTAAAGTTATTTCTATATACCTTGTGTTGCTTGTTATTAAATGCGACCTACTCATGGCACAAAGCTTTCCTAAGCTGAAATAAAAACAAACATTAACAAATTTTTACCTTGTAATGGAGGAAGAAACCCAAGCAAGCTCTAGTCTAAGCTCAACTGTTAGCATTCTTACTTTTTGAACCTTATTTCTCAAAACTTATAGTAGCCTCAAGAAGTCTATTGATACTGGTCCTGATATTTCTTGCCATATTTATAACACAGCAAGAGTATTTACAGGAATGAAATAGCTGACACATATTTTTAGACTCTCTATAATTCAAACAGTTATAAATACTTAGTTTATGGATTGACTCTGCATCCTGTCATCTTTTCGCCTACCTGATCTTTCTTGGAATAAAATAATATATCCTTGGTGTCAAGATCCATAGTTCCAGAATATTCTCAGCCATCTGGTTCTGCTACAGTGTAAAATTAGACTGGAAATAAGACAATGTTAAGTAAAAAGCTTCTTACCTAACCGACCTCCCAAGGGCTCCATTTGTAAAAGTACAGACCAGAAATTCTACCACTTCCTAGATCCTTTCAGGGTACCATCCTACTACTGAGCATTAATTTCTTCATTTTTTAAATGGGGACAAAAATACCTCCTTTATTATTACCACTTACTTATAGAGGTGATTTACAGATTTAATGAGAATATATCAAAGTACTTTATAACTCACGAAATATAAACTTATATAATGCTATCTACTTTGTATTGAGCATATTCTAAATTCTGGGACTAGTACTGGAAACTTTAGGTATATAGTGTTACCTCTTAATTCTCAACACAACCCCACAGTTGTTATAATTACATTTAATGTATAAATGAGTTAGGAGAAATGCAAAAAAGATTGGGTGATTTGTTAAAGGTCCAGCTAGAAAGGGGCGGTCAGAATTCAACCCAGTATTACTTCCAAACAGAGGTTTTACTTTTTCCTTTCTACTCAGAGCTAACACAACAGCACTATTTAACATCCTTAAGAATGGTGGGGAGGAATCACTGAATAATCTGCTTTGACAAAACACCCTGATAAAATCTATGCTTGTATTTTAGAACCCCTGGGTTTCATACATTGTTTTTATAGTTTTCACACATCAAGTGTAAGGTTAAAAGTGATAGATTTTAAGAACCAAGAATATGGTATGCCATCCCACCCAAACTTATAAACAAATCACAAATAACATGAAATAGAAAAAAACCATAAAGACTTCCTTTGCTTTTGGAAAACAGCTGAGAAACAACAAAATTCTTTTCAGAAGTACAGACAAAATTTGTTTTTGTAGTGTAGTCAATATGCCCTCCTTAGGCATTAAGACACTTTTCTGTTTGTAACCTTAATACAGCCGTATTTTTACTCTTTATAAAAATCAAGTCTCTCAATAAAAACAGTATCTTACTCACTACTCATTAAACTGCATCACTAAAAACATAGTTATACACACCAATTTCTAACCTCTTAGAATATTCTGCACAATCAGTTTTAATCACTGGAATGAATAACTGCTCAAAAAAGCAGTGCAGCTTCAATTGCATTATGATTTGGTAGTCAATATTCCTGTTTTCCAGTAAAAGGGAGATTTCATGAACAGAAACATTGGGCTCCTTATGGTTTCATCGATCAAGAGAACGTTTCTGAGCAGCTTCTGAGCAAACATTTCTTAATAGGTTGATCACAGATCTGGGGTCTTCACTCCTCATAATAGCACTGCCAGACACAATCATGTTAGCTCCTGCCTGGAAGAAGTAAACAGTTAGGTTACGCCTCAAAGGAAAATGGAGAAAAACCTGAAACAGAATTCCTGGACTAGAATGTCTACCCTTGCATCTGTCAACATTTCAATCATATGAGAGCCACTTTGAGATTAAGCACACTTAAGCAATCTAGTTCAATAAGAAAAATTTAAAATGTTCACAAATGAAGATGTGAGATTATTTTTAAATGTGTCTAAGAAATCATTGACCTTTCTGGTAAACCAACTCTTAATAATCTACATGGTATCTTTGCTACTCTTTAGATAAGGTTTAAAAGTCTTTACTCCTCAAGCCCACTAAGGTTTTTCCCAATACGCACCAATGCTTTTATTAGTTACTTAAAAAAAAAAAAAACTTTTATTCTTAATTTGTGAGTGTGAAAGGACAATTATTGCTACCATGTGAAATTATCCATAAATTACGGCAAAATTAAAGTGATTTCTCATTTTTGTGTCAAAAAATGGAATGAATGTCTCTCTTTATACTTCATTGCATTCCAGAATGGTTTTGAAGTGGCTTTAACAAAGTTTTTAACATATGTTTAAATATGGAAGCAAAGAAATTAAAAAAGAAAAGCTAAAAAATTGGGTCCAAATTTAACTCTGAGCTTCCTAGGATTTGATTCGAGGATAGAAACCCAATCTGCTTTGTGATTCACTGCAAGAACAAAGAGGGAGAAGTGGGAGAACCACAGGCTGAGGAAAATTTTTCCAGACAGTGTCACTTTATGTATGACAGCATTTCTAACAATATTCCTCACAGAAATTATAAAGGTAAGTTTTATAGGGTTAACACTGCAAATATCTCTTCAGTTAACCCATTTATGCCTAGTGTTCCATTATTGGAATGCTAAGCTTGTGGGAGTTCTTCATATCCTGCTGTTTAAGATCATCACCAAGGTCTGATTTTTCACAAAAATAATTTGCAACCTCTGGCATAAAAGCAGAGTAGTATACTGGCAAAGCACAGTTTGTACAAAGCAATTCCACAAGCAGTCAAAAGGATATGAGCTCAGTCATTATCTGCCCAGCCCCTCCTGCATAAGTATTTACTACTGTCAAGCTTTTGATGGGTATATATCAAGCAGAAAAGTGTGAGAGTTATACAGAACCTGGAAGCAGATACACCACACTGTGAAAGAAAAGCAGGTCATGTGAGTTTTATTTTAATCACTTGTGGTGCTACCAGGAGGGCTGGCATCCTCGGGAGCCTGACTATGCTAGACTAGCTATCTGAAAAAAAAGTAAAAAAAAAGTTTTTATTTGTAAACAGATAGCCAAAGAGGTATACAGAGACAGCCAAAGGGGTATCAGGGCTAAATTTTAATCAAAAATGGTTCTAGCAAGTTCTTACAAGGAACAACTAAGTAATATATAGGTTCTAAAGAATAACGTAATAATTAGGTCAATTAGATTTCTCTACTTTTATCCCCCTTGGAGATGAGGTATCTTTTAATTCCATATTTTGGAAAAATTTCTCACTTCCAAGGCCCTGGAACTTAATGATCTTCCAAAGGGCTGAAATTCAACATATTATTTTTTAAAAAAGAACTTTCTTCAGCCTTCCTGAGACAACCAGGATTTACTATTTAACGATTTATGTGATTTTAGAATATCCACTTATGGGCCGGATGCAGTGGCTCACATCTGTAATCCCAACACTTTGGGAGGCCAAGGCAGGCAGATCACTTGAAGTCAGGAGTTCGAGACCAGCCTGGCCAACATGGTGAAATGCTGTCTCTACTAAAAATAAAAAAAATTAGCCAGGCACGGTGGCAGGTACCTGTAATGCCACCTACTCAGGAGGCTGAGGCAGGAGAATCGCTTGAACCCTGGAGGCAGAGATTGCAGTGAGCAGAGATCACACGACTGCACTCCAACCTGGGCCACAAAGACAGACTGTCTCAGAAAAAGAAAAAAAAAATCCACTTATGGCTATTTTCCTAGTTGTACATGTGAACAAAAAATACTCTTCCAAGAAAGAAAGTCAACTTAGGAACCATAGAGGGAATCGCTGGCCCATGAGACAATGTCCTGGAGACATACTTGACAGGAAATTGGTCTAGTCAGAGTTGAAGAGCAATCTCACCTCTGCACACTTATGGACAGTGTCAGGACCTACTCCACCATCGACCTCTATATCCAAAGATGGGAACTGGGTCCTCAACCAGTGAACCTAGATATATACATGAGGAAATAAGTAACTCCTAAAGTGGATATGTTGGTGGGGGTGGGGGGGTAGACAACCAAATAAACAAAAAAATCCAACAGCCAAAATTAGCACTTGAAACTCCAATTGTCTCACACAATAACTATACCAATACAATATATTACCGGGGAACACTTGGTTTTTAATAGCAAGCTTTGTTCTATTTGGCAAACAGCAATCTGTAATGTCTTTATAGAGACTGTGTGTCATGGAAAGAAGACAGACAAATCCTCAACAGTCAATGACAACTTCCAAGAGATTTAAAGGTTACAGAGATAACAGTTTCAAAAGAAAATTTCAAGACTCCTAGGCGTGGTGACTGACGCCTCTAATCCCAGCACTTTGGCAGACCAAGCAGGGAGGACAGCTTAAGCCCAGGAGTTCAAGACCAGCCTGGGTACACAGTGAGGCCTCCCCTCTATTAAAATATGTAAGAATTAGCTGGGCACGGTGGTGTGCACCTGTAGTCCCAGCTACTCAGGGCGCTGAGGCAGGAGGATCTCTTGAGTCCACGAGGTCGAGGCTGCAATGAACCCTAACTGCATCACTGCATTCCAGCCCAGGTGACAGAGCAAGACTTTGTCTCAAAGAAAGAGAAAATTTCAAGATAAAGATGTAATACTTCTCTGATTTCCAAATCAGAAATCCATTACAGCATTTATTATATACTGTATCAGAATGATCTGTAAGCATCCCCATCTCCTCACCTTCAGAACAGGTCATGCCTAAATATATAAGCCTTTCAATAAATGCTTACTGAATAAACACACGGTAAAAGTCTCACCCCAAAATCAAATACTTCTTTTACCTTTGGCATCATATCTTCCATGAATTTCTGCCCTCCAAACCCCGGTTCCACTGTCATAACCAAGGCCATATCTATTTGATTAGCCCATGGTGCCAAATACTCAACTGAGGTTCCTGGTTTGATGGCAAGGCCAACCTGTAACAGACACAAATATGCTATATCACATTGACATTTACAATTCCCTCTGTATTACATTATTGTGGCACAGCAGGCCCAGTAGAAATATCTGTTCTTATTTTTCAAAAGTTAACAAGACTATTAAATGTAAGTATTTCCAACAAGCAGTAGCTTTCAGAAAATATTAGTGGAATATATAAATGCTATTTGACAAAGAAGTTAAATCCTGGCATCATAGATGAAGAACAGCTGCTAAAGTAGGCAATGGGCCCTGACTGTGCCACTGCACTTCAGCCTGGGTGACAGAGCAAGACTCTGTCTCAAAAAAAGAGAAAATTTCCTGTTTCCAGCAAATCTTTCCCAACTGAGAGTGAACGTTACAAAACACTCTCATTCCATTCCACCTCAAATCCAATGAAGGTTTCTTACCTTCATTCCATTCTCTCGAATATCTTTAATCAAAGCCCCTGGGTTCTCAGTAGCCTCGAGATGAAAGGTGTACTGATTGGCTCCTGCTACAGCCATTGGCTTTACCCACTGTTCGGGCTTGGACACCATCATGTGCATGTCTAGAAAGAAAAGACACTTCAAAATATTACTGAAAAATACCTGGTTCATGCTATTGGAAGCCAACCTGTATGCAGTTTTTGCCACTTCGGATATGAACTCTTTGGGCATCACACAAATCATTATTTCAATAGTTATAATTCAGTATAGGTAGTTTCCTCTTATTCTGAAGACAAAGATTTATTTAAATTCATTTACAAAAACTCTTTTCCCACAAAAAGCATACAGTGCTGTATATAAAAAGGTAACATCTAAAAATCAGGAAATCTAGGTCCAGGTCCAGGAAATGCCACTCTACAAAACTTAAAGAATATATCATATTATCCATGCAGACTAGTTTCCTCTAGGAAAATTAAGTGATTCTTTTCATTTCTTCTTTCAATTTATTGAGCAATTACTGCACTATTAATTATTCTAGGTCCTAGGGTTAGAGCAAAAACATGAAACTCTCCTGTCACAGGGATTACATTCTTAATGGGACAGTCAAACAATAAACAAAATAAGGAAGTAAAATGCACACTAGATAGGCAGTTAATATGGCTGGTGTGCATGAGGAAGGAGATACACCAGTCAGAGGTCAGGGAAGCACGTAGTGAGGAGAAACCCTACGGCATTCTGCAGGCCACTGGGAGAAATCACCACAGTGAAGTGACAAGATACTATCCACTGAGGAAGCTACGATAGCAATAACCCAGGTGAAAAATGATGGCAGCAATTCAGGATGGATATGTTCTGAAATAAGAGCAAAGAGAGCTGTGGATGGATGAGATGTGGAGGACGAGAAGATCCTCCACGGATAGACAGATGAGAGGAAAACAAAGATGGCATCAAGGATTTTGGACTTATTAACTAGAAGAATGGAACTGCCATTAATTGAGAGGCAAAAGACTGCAAGAACAAATTTAGGGGGAAGGACATGTTGACTACAAGAAACCTGATATCCATCCTAATGCTAAAGCTTGATCCATATGAACATATAAGGTGAAAATGGGCATGGCCTGCTTAAAGATCTTGACTTAAATCATAACAGCATTTCATGAGAAGGAGAGGGCAGCTTAAAACAAGCTAAACCAAGAAATAACACTGTGAAGCATCCTGTGTTTGATAAATGTAGTGAGGAGAGGTTTTGAGTTTTTTATTTTGCTAGAGGAAGCACATTTCTGATACAGCCAAGCTATACTTCAGAAAAAAAAATTCTAACATTCCAGAACAATTATGAAATACAACAAAGCCTTTAAAAAAAAGTCAGAAAAAGAGAGTATAAAGCTTGACTAATAAAGTCAAGATTAACATTTGTATTTCTAATCCACCAAAAGTAACTGTATGAGAATTTTTTTTTTTTTTTTTTAAATAGAGATGAGGTTTCACTTAACTCCTGGCCACAAGTGATCCTCTCATGTTGGCTTCCCAAAGTGCAGGGATCATAGGCATGGCCCACCACACCCGGCCTAAATTAGAACACATTTTAATAGGTAAAACTTTATTCTTTAAAAAAAGTATTAAATCTGGTGTTTCTTATTCTTTGAATTATAAACAAGGAAAATTCAAGCTGGTTGAAAATACCTACTCTATTCATTCCGTAAGTTACCAGACTGCTAGCTATGTCATCCTTACTCAATCTCTAGCATCCAGTAATCACTAGCAACCCTCAATGGAGAATTTCTATGTGTTTAGGGAGTCAGTAGTTCAGCAAATCCGTGTACAGTTAACATTAGATCAGCAATTCTCAAACATTCTATTATCATTCTATTATCATCTATTACAATCATAATCTATTATTCATAAAATTGGTCAACAATATGCTGATCAAAAAGAATCTAAGTTCTATTAAATTCTAAGTTACATTAAAAAAAAACACTCACTATATATGGCTAGGTGTGGTGGCTCAAGCCTGTAATCCTAGCACTTTGGGAGGCCAAGGCAAGTGGATTGCTTGAGCCCAGGAGTTCACACTCTTAAAAATTAATAAAGACCCCAAGAAACTTCTGTTGATATGGGTTATATTTATAGATATTTAATGTATAAGAAATTCAAACTAAGACATTTTAAAGCACGTAATTTTTGGCGGGTACGGTGGCTCACACCTATAATCTTAGGAGGCTGAGAAGGGAGGATGGCTTGAGCCCAGTTTGAGACCATCCTGGGCAACGTAGTAAGACTCCTTCTCAACAACAACAGAATAATTAGCTAGGCATGGTAGTGTGATCCTGCAGTCCCAGCTACTGGAGGGGAGGGGTGAGGTGGGAGGACTGCTTAAGCCCAGGAAGACTGAGGCTTCAAGGACGTATGAAGGCCACGACTGCACTCTAGCCTGGGCGACAGAGCAAGACTGTCTCAAAAAAGATACCTCTATTACATATTAATTAAGAGTGGTATTGTTTGTTTTACATTTTTGCAAGTCTTCGGTGTCTGGCTTAATAGAAGACACCTACATTCTCACATCTGTTCCATATCCAATCTGTTGTAACACAGATGTTTTATGATTTACAGTGGGGTTACATCCCAATTAACTCATCCTGAATTGAAAATACTGTTATGTCTAACTGCATTTAATATACCTAACATACCAAACGTCATAGCTTAGCCTAGCCTACCTTAAATGGACTGAGTGGTAATTTTATAAAGGTTAGCTGCAATGCGCACTCTGTAAACCCTATCAATAAGCTTTTCATTCTTTGTTACATTAAAACCCATTGTTTGTCTTGTATTTTGAATGGGTATTTTAAGTACTGATTTACTGAGTTATACACATCTTACAAATAGTGACAGATTTCATTCCATAGTACCCCAAAATTACATTTGTTAAAATAACTACAGATCTCATCAGAAAAGCTTGTTAACTGTTGGGACGCTATCAAATCCACAGTGGTAAGATACACAAGTTCTTCAAAATTCTAATTTTGGGAACAAAAACTGACAAGGTATCTTTCCTTGAAGAGACAGCCTCATTTAGTTAACATTTTTTAAAAGTCATTAAAATAGCCAGGTCTGAAAAACCATAGTTTATCTGTCAGTTGTTCTTTCAAATAAACATAGTGTTCTGGAGGAAAGCAGATAGTTCAGATCATACCTCTATGGTACAAGTAGTTTTCCTTGAGAAAACCATTATGTTCCAATTCCAATATGCAGCAATGCAGCACAAGTGCTTTATATGCACTTCCTACTTTGTCACACAAAGTATTAAAAAGGCATGTATTCAAGGACCAAGATTTATTAATTTGTACTGCTTCATCAAGGATATTTATTGCAAATGCATGATGATGAAGAATATAACAACTCCTGATATAGTCCCTGCCTTGAGTTGGTTAAGGCACAAGCAAACTAACTCATCAATGTTTTTGAACCATCAGTAGAAATAATGGCAAATAATTTCCTAGTATTATGAAAATAGTTTTGATATACTCTCATGGATGACCTGCAAGGGTCTTAAGGAATTGTGTGAGTCCTTATACAAAGTACTTGAGGATCACTGATTTAGACAATAACAGGAACAGACTTTTCCCTATCACTTTATTTCTTAGACGTTTATTTCTACTCAACATGAAAACTGAAGAGTTAAGAATGTTAGCGTTACATATACAACACAACATGTAATCTTGGTCCTAGAATACATTCATGTATCAATTATCCAACAACCAAAATCCAAGAATTAAACAAATGTTTCTTAATATAAAAAACAAAGGTAGCTGGGCTCAGTGACTTACACCTACAATCACAACACTTTGGGAGGCCAAGGCAGGAGGATGGCTTGAGCCCAAGTGTTCAAGATCAGCCTGGGCAATACAGGGAGATCCCATCTCTACAAAAAGTAAAAAAATAAAAATAAAAATAAAAATAGCCGGGTGTGGTGGCACACACCTGTAGTCCTAGCTATAGCTGCGGCGGGAGGACTGCTTGAGCCCAGGAGTTCAAGGATGCAGTGAGCTATGATTGTATCACTGTACTCCTGCCTGGGTAATAGACGGAGTCTGTCTCTTAAAGCAACAACAACAACAAAAAGCCAAAAACCGAAAAACAAGGGTCACAAAACCCAAACATTAAAGTAAATGGATTTATCTTTCAGATAAAATTCTAGAAATATTAATTAGCAAGTTTATCAACAAATTAAAAACAACAAGAAAAAGCAGATTGTGTGTGGTGGCAGCAACACAGGATTGTTAAAAGGAAAGGCACTGACAGGAAATGATATAGACAATAGTATGGTGTGACAATGGGAGCCCAAATAAAAGGGAGCAAAAAGGAAAAAAAAAAGAAAGCATTAAAAAAATTCACACAACAAAGCCAGAAGCGAGGATTCTGGCCATTGATTGTACAGTGGGAGCAAACAATGCTCTGTATTTCACCCACCTCTCACGGTCATGAGAACAACCTTAATACATAGGAAAAGTCATGGTATCTGCTATATAAGCTAACTATGGCTTAAAAAAAAGTTTAGATAATCAGAGGACTATATCCCATTATCTGGAAATTTCAAAATGGTGAACATATTGGTGGAACATTGTTTCCTTATGCCACATAAATGAGGTAATAATGTACATTTTCTTTGGTGTACTCAAAGTAGATGGATCCTATGCAGAGGCTGAAGACTGTATCCAACTGAATTTTCTGTGATATTGGAAATGTCCCATAGCTGCACTGCACAATATGTGACTGAAGACTTGCAACACGATTAATGTAAATGAGAAACTGAATTTTTAAGTTTATGTAATTTAATTTAAAAAAAAAATTTTTTTTTTTTGACATGGAGTCTCACACTGTCACTCAGGCTGGAGTGCAGTGGAATGATCTCAGCTCACTACAATCTCCACCTCCCAGGTTCAAGAGCTTCTCATGCCTCAACCTCCTGAGTAGCTGGCATTATAGGCGTGCGCCACCATGCCTGGCTAATTTTTGTATTTTTAGTAGAGACGGGGTTTCACCATGTTGGCCATTCTGGTCACGAACTTAAGTTTATTTAATTTTAGTAGCTACATGTGGCTTATGACTACCATAGCGAACAGCACAGAGTCCTTCATAAAACTGGTCAACAATATGCTAATTAAAAAGAATCTAAGTTCTATTAAATTCTAAGTTACATTTAAAAAACTATTTAGGCTAGGCGTGGTGGCTCAAGCCTGTAATCCTAGCACTTTGGGAGGCCAAGGCAGGTGGATTGCTTGAGCCCAGGAGTTTGAGACTAGCCTGGGCAACATGGCAAAACTCAGCCTCTTTTCTTAAAAAAAGAAAAAAATAAATAACACTACTTAAAAAAACGTGTACAATTTCTCATGTTTAAGAGATCTGACAGGTGAGACATTGCTAACTTAATATAAATCACTTGTAGGCCACTAAGTAATCTTAAAAATCTTAATTTACATTGTACTACGACATTGGAGTGAATATTTAGGCACCACTTGTAGAAAGCTCCAATTTGCACAAAACAAATGGCTTCTGGACCATAAATCAACTGATTCATAAACTCATTTAACAATCACACTGAGCCCTGATCATGTCAATGCTTAGCTTTGGGAAAACCACAGTAAATAAAGTGGATTCGATCCCTACCCTCAGAGTTTACAGTCTAATAAAAGTCATCGCAGATCAAAGGAAGTTCTCAGAGGAAAACCAACAGGTGATAAGACAATTGGATAAAGGTTAATTTGGGAGAGGGTGCTCAAAAAGGCCTCTCTGAGGAACTGACAAATGACCTGAGGCCCAAAGATGTGGCAGCCAGCCAAGCTACTACCTTTCCACACAGATGAGCCAAGGCCCAGAGGCAGGAAGAAGTTTGGCTTGTTACTGGAGTCAGGCCAATGAAGACCCAGCATAGGGAAGTTGGGGAAAGGGTGCCAGATGAACTTGGAAGTTAAAAAAAATCAACCATCCAGTTTTCCTTTACTTGAGCAACACATCCAGCTTCAGATGGCATAACACCCACTTACCAAAGAAAGGGTCCTGGCCTAGCTGCTTTCGAAGGCTTTCTACCACAGGGTGACCAAAGGTGATGTTGGGAACAAAATGCCTACAAGACAAACAAAATCTACTCTGAAAATGTTTTCAATTCAGTTTCTGTATCTCTCTCAATATGAATTCTGACACGGGTTGAGGGGATTGTGTGCAATGTTTTCCAATTTAATACTTAATCATCAGTATTAAATAACACTAAAAATACTGGGTCATTTTGGTTTTACCCGGTAATGTCTTCTTGACATTTCAACAAATCATGTCACATATATTTTCATAATGATTTGACTCTGTAATTCACAACCCACAACAGGTAGAAATGGAGAGATGACAAAATCAGAAACCCTCAGGCTTTATGACTTGCCCAAGTCACACACCAGTTAGTAAGTTCTGGACTCTTAACACTGATCTGAATCCTAGTCTGTCTCAGGAGGCCTGTGACTTCTTCTAATCACTTCTATCACAGGGCATTAAATGACAGTTTCTTTAAACCTTCTTAAAGATGACTAATAAAGAAACGTGATGTGTTTATTAATAATGACCACCTTTCACTGAGGGTTTACTACATGCCAAGTACTGTAATTTACTTCACTTCATCTTCACGACAGCCTTATAGAGTAGATGCTATTATTATCCCCTTTGAAGAGCACAAGATAAATAATATCCTTAAGTATCTCAGTTAATAATTTGTGAAGTGGATTCAAATTAAGTCTACCAGCTGGGTGCAGTGGCTCATTCCTGTAACCCCAATACTTCAGGAGGCTGAGGCAGGCAGATCACTTGAGGTCAGGAGTTCAAACCAGCCTGGCCAACGTAGTGAAACCCTGTCTCTACTAAAAATACAAAAATTAGCTGGGAGTGGTGGCATGCACCTGTAATCCCAGCTACTCAGCAGGCTGAGGCAGGAGAATCGTTTGAACCTAGGAGACGTTTGAACCTAGGAGACGGAGAGTGCAGTGAGCCAAGATTGCGCCACTGTATTCCAGCCTGGGCAACAAAGCGAGACTTATCTCAAAAACAAAAACAAAAACAAATCAAGTCTACCAGACCCACGGTATTTATCCTTTACGTTACTCCAGTTAATCTTTTTGTTCTATCACTAGTTTACTTAAATATTTAACAAAACCAGGGCCAGGCACAGTGGCTCACACCTGTAATCCCAGCACTTTGGGAGAACGAGGTGGGTGGATCACAAGGGCAGGTGTTCAAGACCAGCCTGGTCAACATGGTGAAACTCCATCTCTACTAAAAATACAAAAATTCGCTGGGCATGGTGGCGTGCATCTGTAATCCCAGACACTCGGGAGGCTGAGGCAGGAGAATCGCTTGTACCCAGGAGGTGGAGGTTGCAGTGAGCCGAGATTGCGCCACTGCGCTCCAGCCTGGGCAACAGAGCAAGACTCTGTCTCAAAAAAAAAATAAAAACAATAATCATAATAATAAAATCTCCTATATGCAAGTACCATACTAGGTGCTTCAGAATACTGTTTTGTAAAGAAATATGCTCCAGTTCCTGTTTTTCCTAGGAGCTTACCATCTCACTGGCAAGAGATGACAGAGATTGACAGCTAAGGACTCACCAGAATTCACAACCCTACTGCTATCGTATAGTTGTCAGTGGGATGTCAACTCAGTCAAACCTTCTCATGCCCAGTTCCCTTTACATTCAAGTGACCCATGTGACTTTACATCCCAGTTCCCTGTTCCCTTTACATCCAAGTGGCTTATGTGACTAACTCTCACCACCGGACTGTGAGTGCAAGTAACGTGTGTCACTGCAGAGTCCGGAAGGTTAAGGAGAATTCTTTTCCTATTGCCACTTTACCCTTCTGCCAACAAAGCCCTTACAGAATGGAAGAGACACAGAATGGAAGAACACTCACACTGAACTCTTACATGAGGAGAAACTAGAACTAAGCTACTGAAATCTGGGCTTTGTTAAAGCAGCAGGTATTATCCTATATGAGGATTACAAGAAAAGCTATACAATAACAGGCAGGTAGCATGTGATTATAGACAAAATATACATAAAATAAGAGCAAGTATTAGAGAACATTAAGAAAGAAGTTCATGAGATTTACAAAATAGGATTCATAAAGATGGGAAAAGAAACAAAGGCTGAAAATGAAGCAAAAGCAGAAACAAGCAAGTTATAGTCAAAGACGTGGAGAGTGGTATTGACCAACTTTGGCTAGTGTGAAAAAAAGATGGGAGGTGGGTAGTATCACATTAGAGGCGTCAAAGGCCAAGCTCATTGTCTGGACTTTTGTCCTGCTGGAAATATGAAGTAAGATCTTAAAGCAAGAAATATTAATAAATAAGATAGAATGGGAAATAAATTACAACAGGGTAGGTAATTGCAACTGCCACTTGGTAAGTGGCAAGGAACACTAAGAATGACAAAACAGGCAAAACTGATCGGATCCGTTAAATGATTAGGTGTGTGGGAGGGGAGTTAAAATACAAACTATGTTTAAGGCCTTACAGTTAAGATGACAGGTAGAATGACTGTTAATAAAAACCAAACTTATACGTGGGCCACACACAGTTCTAAAGACTTTCTATATATTAAATCATTAAAACCTCACAACAACCCTATGAGGTAGGTACTTTTATTAACTGTATCCTACAGATGAGGAACAGAGGCCCAAGGTCACACAACCAGTAAGCGCTGGGGGCGGGAGTTACACATAGGCACTACGGCTACCAAGTCCAGGCTCTTAACTACTATGCTCATCTGTCCCTATAACAACAACTAACGAAACAAATGGGGAACAAGTCTAGCGGAGAAGAGATTCAAGAGAGAGAGGTAAGGATTCAGGACACATCGGAGAGGGACAGGTAAGGCGGATGGGTACAGACACTTTCACTCAATAACACCTTGGTCTTTGGAGGTTTAATTTCTATCATTAAAAAAGTGATTCTACCATTTGCCTGAGCAATGATTGTCAGGGCTGTGGATAAGATGTATGTGTTTACTTAAAACTTGAAATAAGGGTCACAGAAGCAGGCAGTAAGGTCTACCGAATGCTTTACAACTCTGGAGTTAAAGATTTGAATTTCACATACTGTTCTTTCATTATGCTGTGTAGTCTGGGAAATAGTTTTGTTGTCTTAACAGTAGGTTTCATTTATCATGAAAATAAAAGTATAATATCCACCTCCCGAGTAAACACGAGAACCAAAAAAAAAAAAATACACTTCTACTTTTTTGGGAAAACCTAAACAAAACGTATAAAAATACTATCCCTACAGTTATGTGACTTAATTTGTGCTTCTGAAAATCAATTAAATGCTAGGTTCACAAAGTATACTGGAAGAACAAAAACGCACCAGCAGTCTCAAAAAACCCAAAGGCTATGCTGAGCCATAACAAAAAAGGGCTACAATCCTAAGCATGAAGTCAGGGTGTCTCAAATTCACCAAACAGTAACCATGAGAGCAGTTCTAATGTATTTAGTCTCCACCTCAGCCTACTGACTCCAAAGAGGACCAGGAATCTGACTTTTTAATAAATGCCAGAGGGAGTTAACAGACCAGCTTGGAAAACACTTAACTATTTCACTTTAATGGAGAGAAACTTCATTAAAAATTATGCTTCATCATTATCTTATTCTGCCTCTTATTCCTTTATTTTCTGGAGTCGGTTAACTGTGAAAGAAATTAAATACAATAAAAAGGTATCCCTTTCTCCCAGGGACTCACTGGAATTACACTATAATTTTTGTAATACAACGATACAATTTTCTCTCTCACATTCCATCATCACTCCTAAGCTTCACTTACATAATTCTAACACAATCTACTGCAGCCAGATCAAGCCATTTACCCTATCTCCCAACAACGCAAAGATGGTAAGAGGAGGATTAGAGTCGCTATAAAAGGTACAGGACTGTAACTAGAAAACAATCTTCCTATAAAAGGTACAGGACTGTAACTAGAAAACAATCTTCCTGTGAATCAGGAATCACAAACTCAAATGCTGCTGGGGGTTAGTAGATAACATCAAAGAGCAAAACAGAGCAGATAGGGAAAGGCGCCAAATGAAGTACATCCCGGATGACTAAAGGTGACGCTGCCCCTGTCAGCTCCAGCGCGTGTCACCTTGTAAGACTGAGGACCCAGTGCTGGAAGTCTTTGTTTTTTTGTTTTTTTTGTTTGTTTGTTTTTGTTTTTTTCCCCCAAAAGTGAGAAATGCAGCAAAAGTCAGAAATGTGAAATCGTCCTAGTTTTAAATCCTGGTAGCTAATTTAGAAATTAGTTTGCTAATTTAGAAATTCTTTGCTCTGTTCCCACGGTTAGGATGAACACATTCTAGTCACTGTCCTGTCATGATGTATTTATGCTTTCTAGTTTTTTTTTCCCCAGAGAATCCGCTTGTCCTTTGTTTCACATATCCAGTCATGCTAGTGCTCCATCTTCCACAGTACTCCGCAAACCGGTTTCCGACTTTCTAAATGAAGAAATTCAGTTGTAACCAGGGGAGAAATTGGAGGTCTCGGTGGGGAGGAGACTAGAAAACAACAAGCACATCCAAAGTGTAATGTTGGATGAGATTTTAAAAAGGGGCCAGGAAAAAAAACCATGAAGGCAGTCCTGAGGGGGAAGGCACATTGTGGCTGCACTTTCATAGCCCTAGCCTAGTAGACACCACAGCACATCACGTAGGGGCCCTGGCACCAGCTCTGCCGGCCTCTGCTGAATCTGGTGAGACATCAGGGAAGAAGCTGAACCTCCCTACACTGGTTTTCTCCTTTGCAAAAGGGGAATAAAAACAGCTTTTAACTCAGAAAGTAGAGAAGATTAAAAGAGAAATAATTTTAAAATTGTGTATGCAGAATTCAGTTTCTCCAAACCAAAGTACCTCCTGGCAAAGGGGAAGAGGAATAAATAAAAAACAAGTACTTTTTAAAAATTTTTTTGTTCCCAAAACTCTGATCCATTTTATGGATCCAATTTATCTTATTGAGCTCAGTCTGCCATAGAGCTGCGAGGGGACAAAAGTGACTCCTGAGAGACTCCTCCTATTATGATTAAGCCATTCATTCATTCAGCCAATGATTACTAAGCTCCTTATGGTGCTTTTCCAGCAAAGAATACATAGGTGAGCAAAAAGAAAAAAAACTTGGCTTTCAGGAAGCTTACAGGGGAGCAGGAAAGACATGAAATAAGTTAATAACAATAAGTATACAGTTAACAAAAATAAGTATACAAATTATTAGTTGCTTTTTTGAGGCCAAAGACCATTCCCTGTAAACCTAGGACCCACAGAAAGCATTTAATTTGAGACAACACAAGTTGCTGCATTGCTTCCAACCCTGGCTCCACTATTTACAAGACCACTGTCAGATGACTTAACCTCTCTGTGCCCAACTCCTCGCTGTCAAATGCTGGTGGTAGTAACATCAATTTCAAACGGCTGGGTGAGTTAATTCACACACAAAAAACGCCAGAACGGAAATAGTCAAGTGCTCATAAACATTGCTATTATGGTTATCATTAATAATCCTGACTGGTGAACTGAAACAATTACTTTCCCCAACCATTAACTTACTCAAACATAGTTTAATTAAAACCAAATTGCTTTCTGTGTCAAACAGATTCACAAATACACATGTAGCTTATTCCATCCTGTGACCCTCTAGGTGTTTACTCTAGCACAAAAATGTAGCTACTTATTTTTGAGGTACACACTCAGGGTATTACCTGTGACAGTTTAAGGCTTTCAAGCAAAGGTGTTAAAAATGAAGTAAATAAGTACAATTACATATAATGGCCAGCTAAAGGCCAACCTTTGTGAGAGAGAACATTTATTAAACTTTTTACACATTTGGCCTATTCTTAGTACTCTATGGCCAAAGTTTTGTCATTATCAGTTGGGTGGACTCCTAAGGTAACTGAGTAAAATGCAAAAGAGAAACAATACATTTAACCACATAGAGCAATGGAAGATAAAATTCTTCAAAGTCAGATTAACATTAAAAAGAAAAGGAAATCATCATCTTTTGAAAATAACACCAATTTGCAAATTGAATGAGGAAACACAGGGTTTTTACCTATTTAAAATAAATTTATTTTTCCATCCCCACTCAAGATAATGGCATTTATGATTTTTATAGTCAGTTAACAGTGGGGCTCAGAGAACTACTTGGCAAACCCAGGAAGGGCCAAGCTGCAAGTCTGTCACAATCTTCTGTAATCTTGAGGGAGTCTTACTATTTTCTGTGGGGTTGTTTCCTCATTCTATCACCAACTTCAGAAACTAATATCCTGATTCCAAACAATATTATGTGCTGTATCTACAGTGCTTAAAAATTACTTACAAAAAACTGACCTCCCTGAAGAGCAGGGTGCCTGAAGAGAAAATAGGAAATCAGACTTTTAATAATGATGTAACAATTACAGAGAACTTAATATACGCCAGGCACTGTAAACCTTACATGTACTCGCTCATTTCATCTTCCAAAGATGCCTAAGCGGTAGGTTCTATTAGTAGTTCCATTTTTCAAATTGTGAAACTGAAGCTCAATGAGGTTAGTGGCTTGTCCAAGGTAACCCAGCAAGTGGCAGAACTCGGGAACCTCGCTGCAGGTGCCAACTTTAATCGTTACAGAAGTCTGTCTCCCCAGCTTTGCCACTAACTAGCTATATGAGCTTGGGCAAGTCATGCTTCTCCCCTTGGGCCTCAGTTTCTGTAGCTGAAAGTGAAGAAACGTCCTAAAGATTTAGGTCGCTTCCGGGTCCTAAGTGATGGAAGACCACACGTTACGTGGGGGGGGAGGGGAGGAATTGAGGTTTGGGATCCGGCCGCAACCCAGGATGCCGCGACAGTTCTGCTCCTGCCAGAGCCTCCAGGGGTCCTACCCAACTCCCCTCCTAGCATCGCGTTCAGAGTGAGGCGCTCGGTGGCACAGGGACGCGGTACATCCAACAGGCACTAAATAAAGGTGCGCTGATCCCGCCCCCCGCGCGGCAAGCCCGACCGGAGCCCGGAGGAGTTACCCGTCCATTACATCCAGGTGCAGATAATCGGCCCCAGAGTCTAGCATCCGGAGGCACTCGGCCCCTAAATTGGCCAGGTCGCTGTTGAGGATGGACGGGCCAATCTTGCAGCCCGACGCCATACCGCTGGCTCCCCAGAGCAAGTTACCCCACGAGTCCCCCGGCAAGACTAGAGCGTCACTCCGATTGGGCGGGCAGTTTTGGCCCCGCCCCTTCTCCGTACAGGCTTCCGGACTGTACGGGAAGCAGCGACTCTGCGATGAGGAAGTTCCGCCTCCTCCTGGCGTGAGGCGGTCTCTGCTGTCCGCCTGGGGCGGGGCGTGGCACACGGGAGTCGTGTTCCTAGTTCTGACCTTCCTTCTTATGCTGTTTGAATCTTAAAGTCCTCGCAGCACTCAAGGCGTTTCTCAACCTTTTTTCGCTTTGCTTCCCCTACAGTTCCTTCTCCTCGGTTCTTGACTTCACATCACCTTTTGTTTCTCCACCCTTTGCATATGCGTTCCTTTCCTCTCCAGCGCCTATGCTGGCCCTTTAAAACAACAATTAAAAACCTTCTTCCCTCGTATTTCTCTTAGAGCTCTTCTTTTGAGCTGGAGGAACCCTGGCTCTGCTAGATACTAGCTGGGTGACCTGGCAAGTCACTTCTTACTTAGGTTTCCTCATCTGTAAAGACAGTGCCCAGCTTTAGGGTTGTATTAAATGAGTGAAGCCAGATAATGCGCCCAGCAGGATGCCTGGTGCTCAGTACAAAATGGTAGTTATTATTACCCTCTTTTTCTGCCTCTGCACTTCCTCCTTCTTATCTTTTTTGTTTTTCCCTCTGTTGAGGCTCAGAAAATAATGGTCCAAAGTGAAGGCCTCAGACGCAACAGTGTTTCTCTGACTTCATGTCCTGCTTTCTCCTCAATCTCATTCTCCCAGGAGGCAGGTCATAGAAACTAGAGCCCCTCTTCCCTAAGAAGAGTCATTGAAACCAGAACTCCCTTTTCTTGAAGCCAGCCATAAAACCCAAAAGCATTACTCTAGGTTTCCTCCACCTTTCTGTGTAAAAACTGGCCAAAAATTATTTGACCTACTTCAATTGTAGGTTATAAAACTCCTCTTCTAGAGAAGGTTCTATCCCATATCCAGGAGAAGGGAATGCTGCACAGAGAGGCCAGGAATCCAAACTAGACTGGCCAAGGCCGGGTCAGACTATTAGCATTAGATCGCCTATTTTGTCCAATCGTATTTCTACATGGCTGTCCATACTTTGTTGAACCTAAGTATAAAAATGGGTAATCACCCCTGTACCTTTGGGTCTTCATTCTAAAGGCTCCAGTGTCAGGTAAAACTATGATCAAATAAGTTGTTATGCCTTTTATCCTGTTAAACTTCTTTTTGTCAGTGATGTTCAGGAAACCTTTGGAGGGTGAAGGGGAAGTTTTCCCTTGACCCTTACACCTCTCCAGTGCTCATTCACAAATTGTGATAGGTTTGTGTGCTGTTCACAGTTCAGAAATGGATAAGAGTATCCTGATGCTAAATGTGCCTAGAGTCAGAAAAAGAGACAGAAGTAAAACCACATGAGGGGGAAAAAATGGACTTAGCAAGAGCAATCCTTAAGGGGTCAGAATAGAGCACTTTGTATAAAAGACGGAAGTGGTAACTTGGACCACGTGGTGTTTCTGGCCACATTGTGAGGACAACCAGATCTTTAACAATCCCACTGGGAAATCTACCAGTTATTCCAGTAGGTCAAAGCCTGGGCAGAGAAGTTTATTTTTATTTTGAAAGGTAGATTTGGAAAGCATGAGTAGAGCTCAGTTTGTTGGGAGGGGTGACAGGGAGTGTATTGGAGGTGTCTAACTGTATGGTCGTGACCTCAGGCCAGACTGGGGAGATTGAGGATGGACAGCAAGGCATTAACAAAGGCACACCCCAGGGATCCAAAATGAACATCTTCCTGAATGAGTCAACCTATTCCCTACATTAAGAAATGAAACAGGCATCTTAAATGTTTTTAGATGTATTTTATTATATGTGCATACCTAAACACAGAAGTCTTAATATCTTTCATAAATATCTTTCATAAACATTTCAGTATTTATTCATATGTATTTTTTCCATGTTCTTTGGTCATTCAATGTTCATAATAGACTTTATAGTTATCTGAGGGAAGTCGGCTGTGTAGTCAATCTTTTGTTTTAACCTATAAAATGGCTAATGCAGGATTTTCATCCTGTGGTCACAGTGACTATTCAAAGATTTATGGAGGTAAATTGATCTGTAATCCTAAATGATCATAAAATAATATAAGTAAATTTGTCTTAAGCTTTTCCAAATACATTCTGCCCTCAACTTGTTTTTATTCTCCTGAGTGTCAAACCAAAACTTGTTTCTGAAATGCTGCAGTTGAAACCCACTAAAGTAAAAGAAATGGGACTTTTTACCCCCTAGCAAGACAAGGTCATGGAATTGGAAGAGTGAGGTCATAGGGCAACAGCATGACTTGGTGTGATAGCAGCAAATTCTGGAGACTGTTCTATTAAAGTATCCTTTATAACTTGAGGAAGGATATTTAATTCATGTTTTTGACTATAATTCTATTCATTTATGACCCTTTCTTCCCTGTATTCTCATCTTAGATACTCTCAGAGGTGGGCAGCAGAGTGGAGAAAGTTCTTTGTTGACTAAAGGAATATAATGCTAAAGAAGAGAGGAGCTATCACCTTGTTTAAGGTACTCTTGGAGGCTTGAAAGAGCAAACCAGTTACTCCCAGCCTGTGCAACAAGCCCTAACCAGATCACTAGTACCACAGATTTTTCCACCAGCACTGCCATGCCCATTTATGCCTTTTGATTTTGACACTGTAGTTCTAAGTGCCTTGTCTTAATGCACTCAATAACTCAGTTTCTTTTTCAGAAAAATGACATAGCTTATCTAATAGAAATCTAGAAAGCAGCAAATACTGAAAAATGAAAGTAAAATGTTTTGCTATAGGAGATCCTATATCCAGGATTTAAACTGTTTTAATTGCATCTGAGTCATACTATCATGGATAACACATGGTTTATTCCAAGGTCTCTCAAAAGTTAATTTCAGAAGAAGCAACTTGTTTGTGGAGTCTAATTTTTTCTACATGGGAAGTGGGTACCTTTTTTGTTTTTCCTCTGAATAAGATAAATATCATTAAGCATCATGGCTTAAAAGAAATGATCTACTATTACCAACACTGTATTTATCATATGTAGTAATTAGCTTTTAGTCATGTACTTAATAATATTTTGAATATTTATCTTGAACTTTTTTCTAATCTTCCCCAACTTTTTTTTTTAATAGTTATTCCTTTCAAACTCCAGGTAACAGTATTCCTGAGAATACATCTTGTGACAGTTTTATGCACATACATATAGATACTTTAGCCATTACACATAAACATTCAACACATTACATTCAACACATTTAAGGGCACCTTAAATGGAACAGATGCACACATCTGCAAAATTTCAATAGTCCCAGTATGAAAACATTCCTACTCTGTAAGGCCCTGTTTCTCAGAGTGGAGGCTTTTTTGCAAGATACAACATTGCTTAGCTTATTGAAAGTTTCTAATAGACTTCCACACACAAGAGTGAAGGAGTCAGGCTAAAAGGCAGACAGACCAGCATAATCATGTTCAAAACAGCCCAACAGTTTTTAAATACATATAAAGGTATTTATGATTCTTGTTGGATATTTAACAATCTTCTTTGACTTCTTTGCTATTTAAATATTTCATACAATTATACATAGATAATTTGAATCAAGAAACTGGAACAAAGCACATACATACATAGAGACGCACAATAGCCCAGACACTTGTAATTACCAAACATAAGGCCTCTAATGCTAATTGAGCAGCATAATTTTTAACAGGTGAAATATATCAGCTTGGAATCATAAAACCACTTAACATTTATATTCCTGCACTTGAGAATTATTTCAGCATTAACTGTAAATAACATGAAAATATTGTAAAACATAAAAGAGGTCATTTACTGCCTCCATTTTCTGAATTGTTAGATTTGAAATTTTTAGTTTTGTTCTTATATCTTTAACTCATGGATATCTTTCATTCTCTTACTGAATAGGACCATAACCCCAAATTATATTTGAAATTATAAACCACAATATAAACAATGCCTATTTAATAAGCAATTCTAACAAAAAATAATTTTCCTTTATGATTAAGGTGGGTTTAGTAGGTATCTTCTTTATATACATACACATTTCACAGCCAACACACTCAAAGTTTAAGCATACAGAATGTATTTTAAATTCATTGCAGGGTAATCAAAGTCTATATTTAACTTCATCTTGAGGACTAAAACACATACACGCACGCACACATACACCACCATACCAATTTAAGTATGTATATGAGTTTGTATATGCTTAGTTGTTAGGTAACAGTTTTCTAATGTAAACTGCTAAAATTTTGAAATTCAATTGTGAACCACATGATGCACAGCCCTGCTATAGGATCAGTAACACACTAGGTGTTGGCCTCACAAGCCTTCTAAGTGTTACACTTTTCTTGAAGTAACTGAACTTCAAGTTAAAGGCCTATTTGTAAAATATATAAACTGGAGGTGTCTATGAAGAAATTGCTTACTTTATATGTTTTTCCTTATAAACTTAGATGTTCCAAGTATCATAAGAATATTGTTTCTATTAAGAAAATGTTATTTTATTAAACCGATTCTAACAACACTAACTTTAATATTTGAAAATATGCCCTCCAGGGCAGGCACAGGATACTGTAAGGAAAAGTATTACTAATCACATTTTCCAGTATCTTCTAATCTTGATATTGATGTAGTCAGGGCTAGGAATAGGAATACCATCTCTTTTAAGTGATTATATTTACATTTGGTTTTTATAATTGTATAGGCTGTTCAGGTTCTTAATTCAGAATTATTTCTGATGATTTCTAGAATATTCTCTAATATTCTAATGTGATATATTATGAAATGGGATGATCTTATGCCATTTGCATTTTGATTTACAACATGCAATGAAAGTGGTAGTTGAAAAATAAATATCTAAAAGTCCACAGCTCTCTATATAGTTTTTTTCCTTCATCTAAATGGCTGTATTGTTAATCAAAACAAAAATGGCTGTAGGCTTATTTGTTATTTAGTCTCCCCAAAGTAATGTTTTTCTTACTTTTTTAATGTAAATTGCTACTTATATAGCCAACCTGAATTAATATTTTTAAAACTATAAAAATAAATATTTGCATGAGATGTATAATGTGAGTAATCTCAAAAAATTGCATTCTATTTTTAGATCCTATTATTAATATTTCTCTGAAAGCAGTGCTGAATAGTATATATTTTTAACTGCTGAAGGCTTCTTGAATCATAAACAATGTACAGTGAAATGGCTCTTTCCCCTTATTCCTCCCTGGTTTTATGATTTTTGCACAACTAAATCCTTTCAGCCATTGACTTTTAAAATGTTTATGAAACATTATGTATATTGGCAGCAAAACCTATTCAGATTTGTGCCACCCATTAAAAGTAAAGTGCTATTTTGTAATTAATCTTTTTCAAGCAAAAGTATTGAACTTGTAGTAGAAAGATCACTTTCATGTCTTCTCTATACCTGCAGAGCTTACAAGATACAGAATTAAACATGAGACTCATCTAAGACTGCATCCGTTTTCCCCAGCTCAGTGGGAGTGTAGGTGAACTGGCTAGACAGTAGTGGGTTCTCCATGCCATTTTCCTCACTGATGTGAAGGACAGTGTCTCCATGCTGGAGGAGGCTGGATGTCTCGAGGCCTGTGAAGTCATCAGGGTCAGAGAGTTGGGTAGAGAGTGGACTGTGTGCAGTAGCACCTTGCGCTTCTGTGTCCTCCTTCTTTTCTCCTTCTTCAGTGGGGAGGTTCTCACTCTGTGATCGAAAGGATCATAACATTATGGAAAGATAGGATGGGTACCAGAGAAGAACATCAAAAAATGTTGTTGTTTAGTGGTAATGGGAAAAGGAATCAGATGGCTAGTCCCAGTTCCAGCCTTTGTAATAGGTAGGATATTATGTAAGCCCTTCCAACTTTCTAACCCTCAGTTTTTGAACCTGGAACATGAACACAATTTTTTGTCTTGCTTATCTTGTAAACTGTGAGGATCAAATGAGATAATAAAGCTTAGTGTTAAAATGTTTTTTAACCATTAAAGTCTATACAAATATATACAGTAACATTGCCCTTTAGTTTTCCTTAAATACCACATGAGAAGAAGGTAAAAGTCTAAGAATTCATTTATAAAAATGAAAAGAAAAAATATACCAAAACAAGAAAAATATCAGTGGGAAAAATAGCAAAACAATGAGGAAAAAGATCAAAACGAAAAGTTCCTTTCATCTTATAGGACATAGAGGTTCTATATTTAAAGGCTTTCTCTAAACTGGTAACTTTATTTTTTTAATTGAACTATCTTTCAGCTATCCTTTATCTGAAATGCTTGGAACCACAAGTGCTTTGGATTCTGATTTTGGAATATTTGCATTATATACTTACCTAGTTGAGCATCCTTAATCCAAAAATCTGAAATCCAAAATGCTCCAAGAAGCATTTTCTTTGAACATGAACTTTGAATGTTATATCAGCACTTAAAAAGTTTCAAATTTTGGAGCATTTCAGGTTTCAGATTTTTGTATTATGGATGCTCAACCTGTATAAACCTGTTGTAAATAGCTGTTTTGGCTGCAAAGCATTTTCTCTTAGGTTTTTCATAAGTAAAAATACCAAGGCTTTCCTTGGTCCATCTTAAGTAGATATATTCCTGGCTATACTTTATATAGATTTTCTCTTTCATGATGGCAGGAGCAGTATCTGTTTGGATAACAAAGCATTGCAGACCTGGACTTAATTATATGGAATAAATGTGCATATCCAAGTGGCTGCTAGAAGTAAGTACACAGGGAGCAAGCCTTGCCTGTTTCTCTAGTGCCCTCACCTGCTTGGGAGACAGGCTGTGGAGATCCGCAACAACTATGGCGGGAGAAGATGTGAGGACTGGTTCGTCCATTGCTTCTGGTTTCCTAGATGGGGCTGGGCTGCAGCCCTGTAGTTGGCCTGTTGCAGGAAGTGCATCTGTTGGGGCAGCTGGTGGCTCTGGCTGAGCTTCAATGAAGGTCACAGATCGTTTCTGATCCGCTGCAGGTAGAAGTGAAACAGTAAATTGGGGAGAAGTTGGTGGAAATGAACTGCCAATGCTTAATAGTTGATTGTAACCAGTGTTTCCTGGGGATTTTTTTTTTTAAACAAAAACATTGCTGGTTTATTAATAAATGAGAGCATGTTTGAACATTTTGCGCATGTTTGATTTTATCTTCTTACAAAGAGTAAGACTTAGGTAGAGAAAACATTTTCACATAAATGGCCTAAAATAACATTTGTATAGAGCATTAGTTGAAGTTGATCATTCCTCATAACAGCAGCCAAAAGGACTTAAAAGTTCCTATTATTCATCATAGCTTTACCTTCAATGACATATATAGCAAGCCCAGTTCTTGGCTTCAGTAAAGAAATCACATCCTTTTATAGTCAAATTTCCCAGTATTAGTGGTTTACCTTGGGCTCTTTCATTTTTTCTAGGTTCTTGGGGTAGAGACAGGGATTGGGGATGGCAAGAAGAAAAAAAGACACTACAGTTTTCTGGGAAACTCCTTCCCTTATGTTAGCACCTCCCCAAAGGTGTGCTTATCTCCATCAGCTTGGTTTTTGTAAGCCTTCCTGGCTGAGTTGCATGGCATCATGTCAATGGTATAGTCAGAAGGGACACAGGAGGCCTTACCAGACGGCTTCGTTTTAGGTTGAATGCTCCTGCGAGTGGTTGACAGCCGAGCCCCATGGCGATTTCTGGATTCAGTCTGAGTTTTCTGACGTGATAGTAGAGGACGTCTTAGCTAAAGAGAATAGGCAGAATAAAACTTGCAAGAGGGTCTAACGGCTTAGGAGGAAATTGTTTGTTTCTTTATTTATATGTTTCTGTGAATTCTTATGGTTGTTCCTTACATTTATAGCTGATAAATTTATTTCTGCATATTTAACTATAAGTATTTTCTTCTGACATCCCCTTTAGCTAGTTCATCTCCCAATTATTACTCCTTTATATATGCCAAGAACATTGACTAACACAATTTAGATCATAAACCTGAGAATTTCAGTAATTTTAGGATGCAAAATGAGTAACTATTGCTTACTGATCAACCTTTGCTCATTGCTCATTTAAAACTTATAGTTGAACATATGCTTTCAAAGGGGAGGTTTATTTTTAAAACCTCAGATGCTGGCCAAGTGCCTGGTACCTCAATCAATAATGGGAAGCAACAGTGCTCCTGTGGAAGCAACAGTGATAAGCCGCTTTCAGATTTTTATTTAGCAAGTGATGTAAAAGAACTCCATCTAAGATAATCTGTAAAGATGATCTTTACTTCAGTTTGCTTTAAATTAAATAACCTTGAAATGAGAAAGGACTTGTTTTTCTTTGCCTTTACGTAGAAACAGGCCTTAAATCAACTGTATAACAAATCTTCCTCTATCAGTAAGTTTGGCTGGTAAAGAAGGTTTCTGGGTAAGGAACAAACAGAATTATAGCCCCACTTACTTTACCACATAATCAGCTTTGCTAGTAAGAACATTCAGAGCTAAAAGAGGAGATGGAAACATTTGGCTTGCCTAAGTACTTACCACGTTTTAAAGTTGCTCTGTGCTGCTTATTTTTGGTAGGGTGAATGCAAAATGTAAATTTTTTTAAAAAATACATTGTTTTATTTAGTTAGTTAGTTTTTAAGAGACAGAGTCTTACTATGTTGCCCAGGCTGGACTCTAACTCCTGGGCTCAAGCAATCCTCCCACATTAGCCTCCCCAGTAACTGGGATTCCGGGCACACCCAGCAGCAAAATATCTTAATATACATGGGCATTAAAAATCACACAGAGCTTCCAATTCGTAGGATGGTTCTCTTGTGCTTTAAGGGTCTACTTACCTGCCTCAGGCCCCTCTTCCTCCCCAGCGGCTGCTGAACGAGGAGGTTCTGTTGACCAGGTTCACTCTGTATACTTGCCACCCTGCCAAGCATCAACAGTGTTAGTGTACCCCAGAGAGAGTACAGGAGACCATCCTCTGGTGGGTGTTAGCCAAAACCACTTGTATGATACAGTCACTTCAAAGATACCATTATCTTTGAAGGATGGTTGGGAGAGTCCCTGGGATGGGCGTTTTCAAAGGTTTGGGAGGGAGGACAAGGCCTGTAGCCCCAAGCTGCCAAAATTGAGATTCTGTTTTCAATCACTGATGCCGTATCTATCATTCAGAAAACATTGGTTTGATCACACCCCTGGTTTGGAAGCCACCAAAAGGTATAAGATGTCATATTCTAATCTCAATTTTTTTTTCCAAGGGGAAGGGAAACGGTGGTGACAAACACACACAAACAACTCTATCACATGGATGGGAACACCTTTTTAAAATTTCAATTTAAATGAAAATAAGATGGACAAATATCGAACACATCAGACACAGAATTTATTTGGGTGAAGGGGCACATTCAACACATGTTTGCAGCCTGAAGTCTCTGTGACTACCGAGTAAATGAATAGTCACATGGGTAAATAATTTTTTTAAAAACATGGTTTTAGATTTAAAAGGCTGGCAAAGTATAGCTATAGTTAAGCTATCATTACAACTCAGGAGCTTTAAAATCGAGTAACTGCACTCAAACATACCATGCAGTTTATAAAAGCAACAACCTGCTCCCCCCAAATGTACTGTGTATGTGTGTCTTTTGTATGCAAAAATGACTGGAAATAGTTGCTATTTAGTGTTGGGTGAAGCTGAAAATACTGACATGGGCCCATGGTCGTTTTTCATTCTGCATGCATGTATAAAAGGTATTTATAATGGGAGTGGGGGTGAAGAAAAGAAGTATCCTGTGCCCCAGAGAATATTACAATTCTGTGGATGATGCCAATGTGATTCTTTGGTTAATGGTTAATTAATTTCTGCTTTGCCTTTGCAAAAGGAGAGTCATCTACAGATAGTTCGTAAGAGTATAATATTCCACAGAGGAATCCAGAGTCAGCAACTGTCCAGGGAAAAGAAAGACTATATCTGTTCATTTCCTTTTTTTTTTTTTAAAGGGCTACTTAAATACCCAGCTGCAGTAGTAAGGAGAGAAACTGGTGGCAAGACAGGCAATCAGATGTTCCCCTTTTGTGTTAATAATTGGTTAATCATCACAAAGTTGACACAGTCACATTTGTTATTTTTTAAAAGTCTTACGTTTCCACTAAAAAATCAATGTGATTCCCAAATAGGGTTTATCACAGTTTTTATGAAATAAGGATGTAATTACACCGTTTGGGGTTCACCATAACAAAATTCATAAAGGGTACCAAAACAGGTGCTTTTTAAACTTTCTTGTTCTCCTGAATGTCAACTTCAAAAAGATCAATGTGCATTATCCTTATACATATATAACGTTGAAACAGATATGACCTTTCCATGAAGATAGAAAATTACCCCAAAGGAACAATGCAATAAATTCTGATAAGCAATCCAGACTAAGTTGCTGGCATGTTTGAAATGACATCTCCTTATTAATTATACATGTTAACATGTCTGTTAAGTTGGAAAGAGTATTCAATAACCGTATGCACAAAAGTAGAAACAAGTTTCTCCTAATACTAAGCAAAGCTTTCATTGGAATGGATTCTTCATTGACATCTAAATGTTACCTCAGTTCCCTTGGCCATTAAGAGGAGGTTAATACTTACCAACTACCTCCCATTAAGGTAGAGAAAAGAAGTTAGTTGATGTACAATGGTGTGAACATGAAAAGTGATGTACATAGCATGCTTTCTTGTTTTACATTTGATGTTGTAATGAGTTTATTGCTTCTAGAATACTAAAAGGAAGCAGGTAATAAAATGTTTTGAAAATAATAGGGCAGAGAAAATGAAATCGAGGCAGTCCACTTGTCTCATTTTTATTCAGGAATCTGTGATTGTGAGAAAAAATGGTGTAAGAAAAGAAAAGAAATTCACGTTACTTAGGGAGTGTTAAATGTCAAAACATAATGGTAATTTCATGATGATTATTCCAGGAGAGGATCATAAGCACTGAAATTTTCTCTATGGATAGAGAGGCTTATATCTAAGAGATGCATCAAGTTTATAGCTTTAGTATTTAGCTGTTCCGTAAATGATATAGCATTTCATCATGGAATGCACCCATCAAAGATGAAATTACAAAATATATCCTTGGAAATATCCCAGCTTATGAATTATACTCACTCTAAAAATGTGATTGCTAACATGTTTATATTTGGAATACTGAAGGCTGGCTTAACTCTGTACAGTTAGGAATAAGCATCCAAAAAAGTTCACAATGATAATTTATACAGATCATGTTTCTTTTTCTGGGGTTTATATCAAATTGAAGTTGCATATAAAAAGTTTCAATTTAGCTTCTCTCCACATCATGTAATATTTCAGTCATCTGCAGGATTTGTGATGTATGACTATAAGATGTGCAATACTAGAATGAACCAGAAGACTAAGGGGTTTTCACTAAGCACCTCTCTATGTTATGTCCAGTTTTTATTTAAATTGTTTGAAACAGTCCCATCATAGTTCCTACCTACTACAACTGCAGTAATCAAAATTATTTTTCCCTTTAGGGAAATACAATGTTATATTTGATAATCAAATTTTAAAATATTATATTGTATTTTATGGTCACAAAATATCATACTCCAATAGACAACTGAATCCTTTCAGATAAGTGAAATATTTATTTCATGTTCTGAAAAGTTGAGACTATCTGTCGAAATATGTCAGACTAGTGGGACAACTTCTTAAAACTGTCCAACAGAGAAAACTGGTTTTCTAATTTTTTTTTTTTTTTTTTGAGACAGAGTCTTGCTCTGTTGCGTAGGCTGGAGTGCAGTGGCACTATCTTGGCTCACTGCATCCTCCACCTCCTGCATTCAAACAATTCTCATGCCTCAGCCTCCTAAGAGGCTGAGATTACAGACGTGTGCTACCACACCTAATTTTTTTTTTTTTTTTTTTTTGGTATTTTTAGTAGAGACAGGGCTTCACCATGTTGCCCAGGCTGGTCTCAAACTCCTGGCCTCAAGCAATCTGCCTTCCTCGGCCTCCCAAAGTGATGGAATTACAGGCATAAGCCATGGTACCCAGCCAGGTTTCCTAAAATTTTTAATCTTAGGAATGAGATATGACTGATTTCCACAGTTTTGGCCATGTAATAGGGTGGAACAATAAGGATATAAGCAAATAAAGTTTTCTAAATTGAAGCTAACATCTTACAATATATTTAGGAGTAAATAATCTCTTATATTTTTGAGCCAATGAAAAATATCACTATGGCAAACCATATAATCTAGGTCTTAGAGAAGTAAATGCAACTGGGGTTCAGCAGAACTGTTGTGACCAATATTATCTACAAAAACCAAAAGCATCTTTTTTGAAATGTAAGGAAGTAACTCATAAGCTAGGGAAATTCAGAGAATGCTAGGAAGACAATTCTGACATAGATGACCTCTTCTCTCCTATATCAGTATAATGCCCTGGATTGCAGTATATAAATATGTATGCTTCTCCTAATGGAATATATACCTAATACTATGGAGGTATATAGTGCATAAAGGATATATTTTATAAAGTGTATCTTTTATGCACTATATACACTTTATCCTTTATAAAGGATGCACTTTATAAATAAGGTAGAAAGGATAGGTAAACAAGGGCCATTCACTAATGCAATAAAAATTCATATCACTCATTTCAAAATTATAAAAAAATTATAGATTGAAATATATTTCCCACAAATTAAAAATTTAAGTAGAAGCACTAGGTGAGACCAGCACATGGAAAAGTGAATTCATATTTTCATTGCTTTTATCTGTGCTTTTGGTTTCAATTTTAACATGGTTAGAGAAATTTAGAGGTGGCACAAAAGACATGCAGCATCATCGTTTACCCTGAGTGATTGCCTTGTGACAGGAATGCATGAAGCCAGCACTTCATAGGAGCGATAAGGCATCTGTAGAGAGCAGGGAAATACACAGTAAAATAAATCCTACTCCCCCTTTTCTCAATAAAAGATTATTGTTTAAAATTTACTTAACCTCAGCAACATCTGAGAAACTATATCTTAAGTGCCACATAATTTAGAGATTACAGGCTAAAACCACATTGAAAGAGGGAATAATCTGGATCTTAGATATACTGTGACAACTGATTTAGCAATGGCAAAGTAGATATCTGTGTATCACAACACATTTTCTTAGTCATTAATTCTCAGCTACTTAAAAAGTTTTTTTTGTTTGTTTGTTTTGTTTTTTTGTACTTTAAGAGTTCTTGCCAAGTTTTTATGCTTCGAAAGTGTGTATAATCATGAGATGGGTTCCGCTACAGAGGTTATTTTTCTTTCTTTTCACCTAGACTATATAGTCTTGTTCAAACGTTTTTATTTTTCACTGTGATTAAAAGTATCCTTGCAAAATCAAATAGCATTATAACCTTTTTTTTTTAAATTAAGAGTTGACTGTCAATTCCTGCCTTTCAAAATGTTCTAACATGTCTAACCAAAATCTAATTCTTTGCTGTAAACATCTGCCCGTAAGTTCTTGAATAGCCTCTGTATGTCTCTATTCTTCTGGAGAGAAAACATGTCCATGGATATGTGTATATGTTTCATGGTAGAGACAGAGAAGGAACATCTACAATGAATTTCTATATCCCTAAGAGCAACACTCTCTAGAGAAGAGAATTCTCCCATGGAATATTATTTCAGTTTATTAATTTCCAATACAAAGAATCTTTTCTGCAGAGCATAGTGTTTCTAATAGGCTATTTCTGGGGATGACTCTAAAAGAAACCAGTTGGCACATTTAAAAAAAAATCCTAGAAGTAATTTTCGAAAGGTATGGAAAATTTTTATTGATTTCCACCTATTCATCAGGTTATCTTGGTCTCTTCCTCATTTAGTCCACTCCATCCAACTTACCCCTTTTGTCTAAAACAAATGTACTTTCAAAAGCAAATTCTCATGCAAGTTTGGTAAAATGTTATAAGAGGATGGGAGCAGCAGAGTTTATTATTTTCCTGATATTCTCTAAGCTTTAAGGCCAGATTTTCATTGGGACTACTTTGGGTGTATTTTAGGTCCTCAGTGTTGGAGTGTATGCTAAGTGTAATTACGTGGTTAATGCCTTACTACTTCAGGATTTTAAGAGTCTGCAGCTTAAAGGAAGTTCATGACAAAAATAAGAAAATCTGGAAGTAAAAGTATATCTCCTATTTTATAAACCAACCTCCTAGTAAATGCCAAAAGTTCCTCTCCTCCAAAGAGAACTTGGTGACATGATGTAGTTCAAGAGATACAATTTGCAGGGTATGGCAAAAGTGGATGTGCTACTGGTTGGTAGAAAGCCTCTGTGCTATCAGAATTATTTCAGAAGCCAAAGTGAATGCCTCATCTTCCCATTTCTTAATGACCACAACTGGGTCTGGGTGACTCACACCCAGAACTAAAACACAATGGTCACAGAAAACAATGGATCAACAGCGGATGATGTAAGACAGTCATCAAAGTACTACCATGACTGACTAATTCAGTTGTAGACAAATCAATAGCTTCGGCTCTGAACCAGTCTCACCTACCAAAAACTTTGTGTTTATTTCCATTGACACTGGAACCAGGACACACTGAATTGGTTTAGAAAACTACAAATAGGTCCTTTGAACCCTGAGCCTACCAGAGAGGGCCAAATACTTGGGAGAATTCATAAAAATAATCTCAAACTCCTGCCTTCTTTCACCAACCCTGTACTAGTCCTTACTCATCAAGAGTAGAATTTGGCCTAATTAGAAAAGCCCCAGCACAAAGCTAGCTAAGTGGAAGTCTGATTTAATACTCTCTACTCTCAGTAGGACACTGAAATTGTCTTCTAATCAAAGTTCCCATCCCACATGTAATTGTAAACATTAAATACCTGCTTTCTTTGAAAGCAATGACCATCCTTGCTAGACTTGGTTCAGATCTCTTCCAACACCGTGAACAAAAAAGGGAAGTCCTCTTGAGGACTGTTTTGTTTCTCAACTTCCTCCTTGCCCCCAAAGCTCCTGCTAATGGAATTAAGTCTTCACTCTGCAGCACTTCCACATTTACCACCAATAAGAGACTGATCTGTCAAGGCGAGGGCTGGCAAACACGAATGTCATGAATTATGGGTCTGGTTAAAAAAAAAAAAATACACCCGATGATGGACTACATTTCCCATTTTCAATTGCAAAAGAAAATGTGAAATCTGAACAAGATGCAAAGAAAACAAAAGACAACCTTTCACAGGAACAGCCTCTCAACATTTCCTCATCTTTGTGATAAAGCAATAAACATGGGTGTATTGTACTCACTATACAGTGCAAACCTGAAAGGGAATGTTATCTCTTGAGATGGCACAAAGATACTCTAAGAATGAACAAGAAGTCTTACCCCTAATGAGGATTAGTTGAGAGGTGTGAATCAACAGCACAAGATTAGGAATGTTTGACGTGGTTTATCTGAGTGTTAAAGGTGCAGTCCCCTTTTCTGAAGCTTTAAACCAGTAGCCAAGACATTATATTATTTGCATCATAAGACTTCTCTTACTTACCAAGAAATGTTTGTGTCTGACATTTCATGCAAGCTTTGGAGTCACCTTTGTGCTAGAACAGACATTCTTTATATAAGTGTTGCTGAAACAAGCTACTATAGAAGTCTGCCCAGTAGCATGCATCAAAGAGAAGGAATTATAGTATATAAATTGTTTCCACATTACTACTATTTTATAACATCATTGTCTGTTTTCTTACCATCCATGGTATTAGTTAAAAGACCTGTCTTGATTTAATAAGGGGCTTCTTGATGATGGGCCTCTGAAAAACAATTCTTAATAAGTATCAGTGTGGGAGGGATTAATTAGATGGGATAAATTTAACATTTGGCATACCAAACTTTTTAGACATCCATGGGAAACGCCCCATAAAGAATTCTATAAATTTTTTTAAAGTAAGCTTTTCAGGCTTACTTGATTGAGATTGAGCTCTGAAGCTGAAAATGAAGGAGGGTTTGCTACACCTTTGACTTCCAGGCTCATATGTTCATGAACAACAAAGGGCAAGGAATGGAAATAGATATTAAGACGGGGCGAGAAGAGACAGAGAAGACAGAGAGACAGAGGAGACAGGGAACAGCTAGTTTCCCAGCACAGACACCAATAGACAGGTAGCATTGACACTGTACCTAGAGAGGCTGCCCTCGGCGGCCAGGCCCTGGGAGTCATCGAGGACATTAGGTTCACTGCAGGAGGGGTAGGGAGATGAAGCATTTAGGGAAAGAAAATGAAAAAAAAAGAAAAAAGAAAAAAGGCATGCAATTTTCTGCTTCCAAGAACCAAAAATAAATAGATTTAACAGAACAAGGAAGGAAAAGGAGACAGTCAACCATTTCACCTTGTGCTGGGTTTGTCAAGACATAGGACTCAAGGCAATGGGGGAGGAAGGGCTTTGGATGGATACAACTCTCAGAGGAGTAACCTATTTATTGGTCAAGAGTTAAAATGAACTCCAAATGGGCCCATAGGCTCTGAAACACATTGCAGAATGAATCTGTAGAAGATGAAACTATCACTTCCTTTGGTAACCATTTGACTAGGTGGTGATTATTTTTAACCTGTCTTATGTACATGGCGTTTCATTGACCAGGACCCTGCTTCTTTCTTGTGCATTCTAACGTTAGCACACAGAAACCACTTACCATGAACTGCCACAACCAAGCTCTTGGAACTGATGCCATTAAGAAAAGCAAAGAAAGAACACAACTTTCCCTGCTAATTTTGCAGTGAAAATGCAAGTAAACAAACGAAAGGAAGATATCTTGGAAAATTCACATGGAACTCGCATTTACCTCCTTACTCTCCATCCTCTAGTGACTGAATTGTAAATGCCAAAAGAAGAAACCTGTCAGGTTGGTGAGAGAATAATTAAATTGTTTATCGATTGATATGTATGTAGCTGAACTGAGATTTGTGAACAGAAACTTTCATGCTTTATCTGTCCTTCCTTCAGCGCCTCGCATTGAGCTAAGCATCTGTGAGGCACTCAATAAATACTTGTTAAGTTGGAGAGAACTAAACCATTTAGAAAACTGGAGTGCCTGGCCCCAAAGAATTGAGGCTCACCTAAAAGTACACCATAAAAACAGCCTCTGTCCCTAGGAAGAGACTCACTTCTCTTATGTACAGATACAGTATTATTACCTTCACTAGTCTTCCAAAATATGAATGAAACCCAAACTATTTAACTACATTATTTTTTCTTGATTTCTAGAAAACAAGAAAATGTACAATCAAGATATGTATGATAGGACAAATTTTCTCCCTGCAATCAACTTGACCCCTTAATGAATATGTAAAAAGGAAATTGATGGCCTGGTTATTTTAGGTAAATAACAACAAAAAACCTCTATGAAATTTCTACAATTCTATAATTTAAATAAAACTTTCAAATAATTGATTTTTAAAAATATTCTTCATAGAACCATGCACATTGCTAGCAATTAAAAATACACTGATAGCTACCAATGTTAGCTGCTTGTGTGGCTTTATATCTTTTTTTGGACATGTTACTGTTTGGCTTTGATTTTGTTCACACTTTTTGTTTATAAGACTTCCTTTTCAAAGGAAAATTACCAAATAGTAGGTAAAACAATTTCTTACAATGATACAAACCTTTATATAGTATTAATCTTTGTAATAATTAAATGGTACTTACATAAAACATTGTCTTCTTAAAAAGTACACAACTTGCTTATTAATGATTTATCATTTTACCCTATTCTTTGATATTCTCCAAACTTGGGCTTTATTTCACAAATTTTATTTCATCTGTGTAGTCCATGAACCATTTGCTAAAGGATTTGGGTACAGGATAATTATTCCTACATATAAACTGGTTTTATGTGAACATCACAATATGCCCTGAATTTTATTATTTTCCATGTGTGAATTGTACTACAATGAATCTATAGGTGTTAAAAATAAGCAACACACTAAAATCACATAAGGTCAATTCCTTGAAAAACTCAGTCCTGAAGTGAAAATATCATTGGTTCCAAAACATTTATCTACTTAAGATAAATGTTTTGACTCACGTCAGATCATTTTCATTATACTTTAATTGTATATACATATCTTGGATTTTTTTTTACTTACATTCTTAAAAGACAGGACACACAAATAAAATATTTAAAGGGGTTTTGTCATGGAATCACAGAACTATAGATGGAGAAGTTACCTTAAAGGTCATTTTAACAAACCTCTTCATTTTATGAAGGGAAGAACTGGATTACAGTTAAATGGCCTGCCCGAGGTCACACGCAGCGGCACAGATCCTTTTCTGCTTGGTTAAGTGTCACTACCTACAACTGAATCCTAATAATATATCAGAACCCTAAACTTTACCAGATACGTAAAGATGGTCCTAACTCTTGCCAGTACCCATCATTAGCTTAGCTAATGATAAATCTGAAATACAAGAATGTCATTTGACAACAGAAAGAAAACCATGTGTCTATGGAAAATGTTTAAGGAGAGACAATACTTGGATGAGAAACTGGGATCCCTTCTACTAGCTTGGCTTAGAAAACTGCAAAGTGTTGCCTGCAGGAACCTAGCTGACAAATCCTTTGTGGCATGATCTATCTAAAAGCATTACTTTTTTGGTCTTTGTAGAATAACAGGAGTGTATTTTCAGAATTTATAACTTTGCCCCCAAATGCAGAGTATAATATAACCATAGCTCTTTACCTCTGGCTGGGTAGCATGCCCACCTCAGCCTGAGGTGCAGACATGCTGGAGACATGGCTGGAGAATCGCCTCCTTCCAATGGCACTCAGGAGGTAAGCTTCTTGTTCACTTACCACGCTGGGCATGCTTATAGAGTCATCTAAAAGGGGCAAAGGAATAGAGTGTTAAAAAACTATGACACTGATCAGAAAAACCCAACCAAAGCTGTACTTGCGTTCTGTCCTTGGCTTGTATACAACTTACGGCTGTCTGTAAAGCTAAATTATCATTGATCCCTTCATACAGATAACAACAACTTAGACTTTTGGGGGTAATGATAATTCTTCACATCTATACATCTCCCACCCTTCTCCATTAGAACATCCTTCATGAAATAAATGTAAATTTTTACAAGTAGGCTATTTGTGAAAGTCAACAGGCATCAGCAAATTTAAGATTTGAGAAAAGCTAGCACATAATTTTTTAAAAACATTCCATAAATACTTCAGGGGACTTTGTTACTGAATGAGTCAAATACATTTCCTTGGCATTCAAAAAACCGCATTCAGTACAGTTAATAATTTCTAGACTGCTGAGGGAAAGACAATTTCAGACATTTTTAGGAAAAATATTTGAAAGCTATAAAGTTAAGAAATAAATGCTTATTTTAACCAAAATTTTAAAATTTAAGTATGTGATCTTGTTTTCTCCATAGAAGCAGATTTTTTTTTTTTGGTTTTGGTTTGTTTTTTGTTTTTGAGACAGAGGCTCGCTCTGTTGCCCAGGCTGGAGGGCACTGGCTCTATCTTGGCTCACTGCAACCTCCGCTTCCCAGGTTCAAGTGGTTCCCATGCCTCAGCCTCCAGAGTAGCTGGGACTAGTGGCGCACAACACCACGCTTGGCTAGTTTTTGTATTTTTAGTAGAGATGGGGTTTCATCATGTTGGCCAGGCTAGTCTCGAACTCCTGACCTCAGGTGATCCACCCGCCTCAGTCTCCCAAAGTGCTGGGATTACATGTGTGAGCCACTGTGCCCAGCCAGAAGCAGAAATTAATGTACTCAAATTCATACGAAAATTAGCTTTAGCACAGTATTTATGACAAAGTGACCTAATTCTAAAAGAGCTAATGTTGTTTGTTGATGAACACTAACGTTCTTTGATAAACATATTGAGTTTTGGAGAATGTGTGCTACCATATAAGATCATCTGATACTATTTATTTAAAATACCAAAGTAATCATATTTCTAATTGAACTTATTTCAAATCAAAACGTGAATATAAAAAGTGCTAGCAATTTTAATTTGCTATATAATCACTGACTTACAATTGATTCTTGTTATAGAATGATATTTTTTTTTTTACATGTGTCCACAGGAAGGAGAATAAACAAATGTGCCTTAAAAATATAAAAAAAAAAACACGTGGTAGGATAGATTGAGCTATTTCTACAAAGGCCTTTCCCAAATCCTATTGATTATTCCCCCTTATTTGTACTCACATATCACGTAACACTTATGTCCCCAGTATTTGTTTGGTGATTAATCATGTGCTGTCTTCCACTAACTCTTTTGTTAAGTGTTCTTTATTGTAAATGTCTCTCATCTCCTCTACATAACTATATCTATTATAAGGTCTTAGAAAGCAGAGAACGTATCTTTCTCATACTTCCTTCTTCCTTATCTTATACCTGATAGGCCTTAATACAAGTCTGATTATTGAATGTAAGGAAGTTTAATTCAAACCAATGAACTGCTTTTCATAGCTCTCCTTGTTTAAATTAATACACACCCATATCACAAACACACGATACCATTTGTTAGTAATCTTGCTTTCATTGGGATCGTTGCGATGTCTGTGATCAGAGATATAAGCAAAAAATTGCATGGCTCCCCAATCCGCCTGCTGCCTCATCAGTATGTTAGTGTTGGCTTTTGGCCAGTGATATCCCTGTTTAAGTCTTACTTACTTTTCTTCCCTAGCTCCTTCCTACGGCTTAGGTAATCCATTATTTATAAGGGTACCTGCAAAATATATTTAGCTCTACAAAAATAGGTGATATCATTTCCTATAATTAATAAGAATTGCTGGGAGAGGCTACTTCAAGCATTAAATAAAAAATTGATTTTCTTTAAGTTTTACCCATACTTAATGGATATTTAAACTGCTGATCCTTTTCTCTTTCATGGTGTTTTCTCAGTCAAGATTTCCCTAATTACAACTTTAGCTGTATTTTCATGAGCAGTCACCAGGGTGATTTAGACACAAATGTGTCTATAGGTCAGCCGCAGGACAATATGATTTTTCCTTTGGTCGATGCTGAAGCTAAATCTGCAAATATTACTGGTAAGTACTGACAAAGCATTTATTTTTTCTCTTCTCTTACATTCCCAACTGTCGTAGCACATTAAAACACTTTCATTCATCTTAGTTAATTAAAATTCTAACCTCAACTCTCATTTCTTCTATTTAATTTAGTTCAGAGTAGAGCATTTTGTTGTTGTTTGGTATGGAGAGCCTCTGAGTGAAGATCTAAACTTTGTTCTCATTCATATGGCATTGACAACACAACTTTGCTACAAACGCTATAACATACAAGTGGAAAATAATTTATGCAATTTTAAGACTCCTGAAATGACAGTAGCATTTAATGGAATCTTTCACCCTAATTTTACTTTTTATAACCTCCTGTGAAGCATATATATGTAGTATTTCTCCTCATGTCATCACACCAAATCTCTAGCACATACCTTAGAAGCTTCTGGGCTGACCTAGTCACTGGGGATTCTCTTAACTCAAATTTGGAGTACTTTCCCTCAAGACAGCCTGCTGGTTTACATACTGGCTGGCAGAGCCAACTGGTCTTTTCTGAGTCCTAGGCATATACACGGCTCACTTTTCCTTGCCTAATGAGGCCATTTAGGTGTCGATCAACCCTCTAAGCAAGATGTCCAGGAAAAATGAGAGTAAGTGCTTTCCTTGGTTAGTTATCCACAATTTAAATGGGAGTTAGTGGAAAAAGTTGACTATACAGGTTTAAAGAAAATTTAGGAGTCACTAACGATTTGCTTTTTTCCTGAACTCTTTTTAAATGACCAAAGGATATCAAGAAATGTATAGAAAAGCAGGCATCAGGAGTCATGGAATCAGTCATATTTTCCCTAGAACTCCTTCTGTAAAAATGACTAGGGGATCAGAAGTGGAAAAGGTCAGAGGGCAGTAATCCTTCCCAAGCCCCTGCTCCTATGGCCAAGCCGTGTCTTCCACCCACATTCTTTGGAATGACCTACTTTCCTCATCTTCCTCGTCAGTCCGACTCAGGGTGTCCTGCGAAGCTTGCTGGGATGGCTCACTATCCTGCTCCCAGACAGTGCCCGTGCCTGTGTTAGAGCGGGACATGGTGGCCAAGCTCAGGCGGTAAGCAGAGGTGGAGGTGCCCACGGTACTGATGGATGTCTTGCCTTGGTAGGCTAGAGGATTCGAGAGACCAAAGGAAATGCATGGTGAGAATCTTAAATGTCTGCTTCAAAGTCCTCCCTGATCACTTGTAATTTTTAGGAAAGGTTCGTTAAATAATGTGTCTTTATAACGAAGTTGCAAATGAAAGTGGGGATTTTTTTATTTTAAAGAATCAATATTGGCCACTGATATAATTAAGTAGTTCCCTTGCCAGAACATAACATCTATAACAATATTAAATGCTTTGACATTGTTGCCTTTCTTATTGGTTTTCTATTTTATTTTCCAAGGTTGGTAGGATGCAAATTAACTTTGACCTGAATTGTAACTTCCAACTTGGCAATTTTTACTAAGAAATATATCTTATCTGACACAAACATATCAAAGTAATAAATAAGTTGTCTGATGTGAACCCCACAATCAGAATGCATAATCAAAACTGTTTTCATTCTCATTTTCTGGAAATTACAACCTATAAAATACCCCTCATTTCTATGTCAGGTTATTTTATTACAAAGTAGAATATTTGAATGATAATGTTTAAACTTCACCAGGATTATACTTGTCAATTTTTTGTTTTTACCACATTGTCTGCAAAGAACAATAAAAGCTTTCAAAAGAAAGGAAATAACCCTTCCCTCCCACAAAAAAGAAAACCTATCACATATTACATTTTACTTGTGGATAATGACTGCCCTCTAATGGCAAATAATGTTTTATTTTCCTTCCTCAGTAATCTGAGAATATAAGAAAGAAAGCAATGTACTCTCAAAGAATACCTGTAGAATAACGTAAAATAATGTAAAGAAAGTACTTCCTAGTTTGCCAGCTCTAAGGGAATCCTTCTCCTTCTGATGTGTGAAAAGTTAAAGGCTTTATAAATCAATCATACAGATCTGTTGAAAAATCCCCTTACAATAATCATTTTCTATGCGATAGTAGTAAGTTATTTACTTGTAAATTATTTACCTATTTTCTTCTGTGTCTGTTTCCTCATTCTTTACAGGGACTTTCAATTATACACCTTGAAGGTATTTGTATAGCTTAAAGGAAATAATCTACCATTAAATAGAAGTTCAATAAATGAATGTGCCCCTTCTCTTTTTCAAAAAGGAAATAAAGATAATAATTTAAACCATTTTTTCTCCAATTAAATATTCAAGAAAGAGATTAACTACTAAAATGAAGATTAAAAAATATATAGAAAAGGAAGAAAACTAAATTCTTATGATATCCTTTTAATTTCTATTTCGTTACTGACAAAAGAGGAAGTCAAATCTAGTAGTGGTCAAATGGCTAACTTAGTAGAAATCGTCAAATCTAGTAGTGTACCAAAATGGCTAACGTATTCATAGTTCCAAAAAGTGTGGTGACCTGGACGGAGGGATTCTTTGTAGGCTGTGAGTTCCATTAGTCAAAACAAATTCACAATACTCTCAGGCACACTCACCCGATCCACTATGAACTGCCTCTTTTAGAATTTTTAGTTCACTGTTGAACTCAGCAATGAGCGAGCTCTTACACAAAGGGCGTGGTATGAAGCGCCGCTCCAGCTGGTCGGCAATATGCTGCCGGGCAGAAAGCTCTTCATGATTCTCTGCTGGTTGGGCCAGCAGCTGAAAGGAAGGCATAACATTCTCAGGGTCTCAATTTTCCATCAGTAAAATGGGCTAATTGCTGTACCCATTGTTGCGAGGAATAAATAAGGTAATGCATGTGATGTTCCTAGAATGGCACTTTACACAGGAAGTGCTTAATAATTACATTGTTTTAAATCACTACCCTAAGAAATTGGGGCATGAAAAGAACAAACATAGATGGGTACTGGGGGTCTTGGAGGAAAAACATACGTTAAGTATCCTATGTTTTTCATATGTTTATTTAAAATCAGATCTCAGTCATGCCACTGAAGATAGAAGATTCTCCAAACTATTCCACTGTACCAATCTTTTGGGTGGGTAGAGTGGGGGATGACTAGTAGGGAGTGGGCAAAGTTTTACAGACTCCAATAAAGCTCTTACTGTGAAGTCATTTCTAGTGTGAAATTTTATCCTCTGGAATATATTTTTTGGTGGTTTTTTCATCAAGCATAGTATTAACAGGCCCTACTAACTGGCAACAGTAGGTACCATGAGCACTGCTGCCATATTCCTGCCTCAGTAGAGAGCCACACATTTATTCAAGCTTGCCACTTTCAGGAGGAGAAGCACACACCACACCTTGCACTGGATGAAAGGGCGCAAAAGCACAAAGATGGGTATTCGGGTCCGCACGATGAAGTCGAGGAAGTCCCAAAGGGCCAGGCCTCCCACCTTCCGCAGAGCCATTTCCTTCACCTGGAGGCTCAGCCAGTACCACTGGCTTCCGAGCTGCCTCTCAAAGCAGACGAGAATCACCTTCAGCGCTTCACACCGGGAAAAGAGAAAAGTGAGCCTGCGGACCTGTGCTTCAGAGGAACCCAACCGACATTCAGAGCCCTTTTTGCACCTTTAGAAATTTTCTAAATTTCTAAACTCTCCCCATGTTTCTAAAAACTTCATATGTATTCCCAAGCAAGAGTATTCTGAACATCGAGACAAAAACGTGTATGTTAAGTGTTTTGATTCTGATGAAGAGTACCCAAGTATCTTTCTTAAGTGCATCTTAAGAACTACTATTTTGGAAAATATAGAGCAATGTGGTCGACTGAATTGAAAGGAAAATATTTTATAAACATGATGTGTGGCTAACGCTTTACCTTCCAAAAGTTTTGTCATAATAACTTCATGGTGATATGGACATATCACTCACATTCTTAGCTAAAACATGGATCTTAAAAATCTTTTCCTTTTTTCTTTTAACCATAAAAATAAATATTTGTGTTACTAAAAGTAAAATAAAACCATGAAGAAGTGCACAAAGTTAAAAAAATTAAGTCCTTTTCCTTCCCAGTTCCCTTCCTGACCCCACACTAAACTGCTCCCCAGAGGTAACCAGTAAATGCGTTCAGTGTATCTTTCCAAAAATAAAAAACAGCTCCTTCCTTCATCGCACACTACGTCTATTACTAAACCCTGCTAGATTTATTTTTCCGTATCTCTTTCCTCTCAGATTCTGGCAGCCCTTCACAATCTACATTTATTTTTATTTTTCAGGAAGCAGATTTCCCAAACCATGTCAGGACAAACCAGAATATTGTGAAGACGTCAAAGATGATGACAGGAGCTCTCTCTGCCACTACAGCTTTTACCGTGGAGTCTGCCACGGGGCAGTCAAGTGACCTGAGCCTTCTGGACTGTTCTTAACGCCCATCAATCTCAGCACCTAAACAATGTGTATACTAAACACATTTTGATTCTAATTAGGAAAACACAAAAATCTTTCTTAAGGGCAATGAGTGACTAAATGCACAAAGAAATCCAATTCTCTAAAATCCTCAAGAGTCATATATGCCTTTACCATCCTTAGGATGTTTCCAGGAAAGAACCATGCCATGTAACACAGAGAGAGAGATTGCAAGATTCTTTCTTACCCATATTCCTCCTCAAAATCTCACTTTTCACAGCAAATGCTCATCTCAATTCCTTTCCCTCAACTAAACAAACAAACAAACAAAAAACAACACTCCTCTTTCTCTACCCTAATTCTGATGAAGTTTTCACCGTTACTAAGCCTGTTGGCTCTCTGCCACTCTACTTTCCACCTAAACTTCCATCAGCCCAACACACAGCAGTGTATAAAAGGAGCTCAAGAACAGAGACTCATTCTAGCTTTGTCACTTATTAAGATATATGCCTTCAGGCAAGTTATTCAACCTTTCTGGGCCCCAGGCTCTTCACTCCTAAAATGCGAATAACACTAACTTAGAGTTATTGAGAGGATGAGAGGATTCTATGTGGTAATAGTGTAAAGCACAGAAAACTGCTTGGTGCACAGTAAGTGCTCGAAATAAATGTAAAAATAAACTTAAAATACAGGTTCAGTAGCCTGGCCACGTAACAAAGTAAAAACAACTCTTCACTGAAAAGGCAGACAGTGGAGAGGATGGCAACTCATCAAGTGTCTTCTCATATCCTTCCTGTACATGGTAAACTTCTTTTCTCCGTCATCCTCTGTGCAATCCTAAACTTCATGTAGGGCTCTATGATAGAGCCTAGATTTGAATTCTACTTTGAATACCTTGGCCAACTGAGCATCCATATGGTTTGGTCCTGGGTACATGCATTCCTTGTGTCTTTTTCTTCTTTTTAATTTTCATTGTCAATCCCCTCATTTTCAAACACATCCCATTATAATGCAGTTCAAACATCCCCCATACTCCAAACTCCAAGGACTCATTTTCATCAGTGTGTTTGTGTTCATCTTATACTTCCCACCAATATCTGCTTTGGTGAATTGAAAAATGTCAGGCAATACTTTCTCATTTTTGAAATTCCCCACTGCCAGTGCCCCTTATTCTCAGCGCTATGGCAAGAGTAGTCTTTTCCTGCTGGCCCAGTTCATTCAGGGCTAAACAGTGGCTTTCCATTGCTCCATGGGTCAGGACCAGGTTAAAGGCAGCACGGGATAATAGGAAAGTAGGAGTCAAAGAGGGAAAGGGATTGGGAAGCCTATGGGAGCAGGACTGGATTGGCCTCACTAGAGTAATGATCAAGGTGGAGATTAAAGACATTTTAAGGGAGGAAAAATAGCTAGTAGGGGGCATAACATATTGCAAGGTCACCAAATCTTGCTGCACAGGATGTAGACTACCCAACTCCAGAACCCCATTTATATAGGTGACAGACCAATGAGCCCCACGTGTTGTGCAATGTTGTGTCTTTGTATACTAGACTGAGTTTAGATCTCATAGCAGCTACTGAATCTCACTAGTGAACTTGTACTTAATCAGCATGGAAGAATCTTTACTGCAGATGCCTTCCTTACAAACCCAGACACTCTTACATAAAACAGCCAAGTAATTTAGGCATGGCAGATGTGAAACCATGTTGTTTTTTGGCATATGTTTACTGAAGGAAACCAGACTCTTTTGCAACGGTAATGTTTCTTGTTCAAGTGGCTTCTTTAAATACATTCTGGATTGAGGTTTCTTTAAATATATTCTGGTTTAAAGTCTCTCCAAATTCTTTCTGAGTTAAGTTGGAACTTAACTAATTACATCTAATTATTTATCTATCTAGCTATCTACACATATGTTTTCACATATATATACATACACATGCACAAACAGAGAGATAAAGAAAGTACCAACCCAAGTATGCTGCTTGGCTGGTGGACTCAGCCAGCCCTTCCCTGCGCAAGTCTTTCCCTGCATCCCCAGGGGTGGAGCAGTGGGCTGGGGAGCTCTCTAACATGAAGTTCTTGCTTCTAGATGTGCTGATGATCCGCGGTGGCAGGAGCACATTGATGACCGTCTGCAACAGCAGCTGCACCTCAGGCTGCTCCAGCCAGGGACTATCTAAGGGGCAGAATTTGGAAGAGGGAAGTGGAAAGAAAAACATCACAAGGTAGACTGTCCACATTAGATACAGAAAAACTCAGCTCTTTCCAAGTCCAAACTACAACACCCTAGAAATTCAGGTGTTTCCCATCAAGTACAGCTTTACCAATGGACAGAAACAGTGTTCCTGGCACCTGAGTATTTTCTCCATAGTGGGTACCCAAAACCTTGTGGTCTTAGCCAAATGTCTCGCTTACCATTTCAATCTCCTTTCTTTTTGCAAATACTCATGATGCACTGTACTTACATTTGAGATAAACTTTTTTTTAAAAGAATCCCTCTACCCCTAAGAAGAAAGAGTAATGAAAATATATTGTAATTTAATGATAGTGGCAGGATTTCTGCTAAACCCAGTGTCTGTAGGTTGTACAAGTTTGTTCACCTGTCAATTCTTATATTGTACTTCAATGAATACCATTTTCTCAACTGAATTGAACCACTGTTCCCTGATTTTTGCTGTACTGAAATGTCTTTAAATAGGATGTATCCTCTAAGAAGTAGAGCAGAGAAACTCTGGTCCCAGGTAGCTAAACTGAAAAGAAAGAAAAACTCTTATTCCCTAAGATGACCCTATTTAAATCATTCAGATTGACTTCAGTGATAGCCTTCATGGGAACAGGAAAAAGAAATAGCAGCCTGACATTTAAGAAAACACAACGACAATGATAAATTTCCTTTAGTTAAATTAATCAGACCTTTGCTTCCAGATCCTACTGTGAGCACAAATGGGATGAGCAGATTTAAAAGCATCCCCTCCCTTCGCTCTTGATTGGTGAATGGGGAGATCACATGGCTTAAAGGAAAATCTTCTTTTAAAGCCTGTGCAGCAATAATAGAAAAAAAGATTAATTGATCACCACACCCATTTAGTATGTTTGTTTTTACACAGTATGATGGAGACGGTGACTCCCTGCTGGCTGCTCCTGCAAACTATGAGTTCAATTGTCATCTGTAGAGCATACAAGCTTCACCCAAAACTGATACTTTACCATTGTCTTGATATAATTGAGAGCTATATACCTAAAAAGATAGTAACATCTTGAATATTAAATGAAAAATTAAAATACTTATGGTCAGGTACAAAAACAACTTCATGTCCCCATTAATTTTCTCTATTTTTCCACCAATAAATATTTTAACAACAAAGGAGAAGGAAGAAAATCAGAACTTCTCACATGCTCCATTTGGGAGTTATTCCTCTGGCACCTGCCATGAAAGGCCTTCTTCAAGCCAGGAAACAATATGCAATATAGAAAGAAATATGTGATCTTTGTACATAAGTTATTAACGTGTATCACTTTAGGGATGTCACTCTTCTGCACAGTAGCGATAGCTCTTACTTGATCTCTTTTCTATCATCTACCCATTCTCTGGATGATGAGCCATCAAGCTTGGTTGTCAAACAATGGATGGGTCAGTTATCCACTTACATCAGTTGTGTACTTTCCATTGATTAAAGAGCTTTCCAGTGATTTTTCATTGTGTAAAACTGGTTGACACACAGAAATACTCAGGAGACTTGGGATTCTCCAGTTTTTTTTGTTGTTGTTGTTTGTTTGTTTTTTTGTTTTTGGCCTCGGGAATGATTATTTTAATTTTAAGAAATAAATTAAGGGGGAGAATTTCCTTTAAAAAAGCACACATAATATTCAACCCACAATCATTAAAGAAAATTAAGATATTCAAAGTCTAGTGATAACATCTGAAAGAATTTTATATTGCAATTCTTTCTGAAAATAATTTAAAACCAGACTGTGAATATTACTGCCTCTTTTAATTAACAATTGTGAGCTGACTATCTGTGAACCATTATTTTGCACACATTTTAAATGACTGAAGTGGTTCCTGAAGTTGTGGCAGGACTAAATGACTCTGCTATATTTGAGATCTCAAGAAGAATTACAGAAGCACAACTTAGGGCCAAGCTCAGGGCTGAAGCTCCAAATCTATAAAAGTTTGGAGATGTTTACACTTTTGTTTCACAGATTTTGCCCAGCCTTTGCAGAAAAAACGAGAACACCATGATCTGGTGCCTCAACCAGCAACTTAATGAGCGTGACAAACAGGTAAGGCAGTCACACCTGTATCTGCAACGCTACAAGCCGGACAACAGCTGTGCTGAAGGGTAGAGGTGGTGAGAGATAAGGGCTGAGATGAAGAAGGGGTAATCCGTCAGCAACACTGGAAGGTCCTACCACTCCCATGACCTGAAATACAAACAGAGCACGTGACCAGCCTTGACTATTGCAACTTCATGCAACCGTAGTAAGGGAGTCTCAATGATGATGATAATAAAAATAATAAATTGAAGGTTGGGCATGTTACTTTCAATCATTTCTTTCTTGATGCCTTCTGAAGGCATGTAATGTCTGGAGTCAGATCGAACATTACACTGAATTCAGCCAAGGTTTTGTAGAATGTTGTTTATAGTTAACTATGTAAATAATGAGAGATGAATCAAAAAGCTATTCTAATCAGGAAATTGGACACTTACTTGTGAATTCAAAGGAATGCAGTCAACATTCCTTGATGGAGCAAATACTGACAACAATGATGATGGCAACAGCTCTATTTGCACTAGGCATTCCAACTACAGATTTATTGCTCAGCTAGTGAAGCAGCAGGTCCTATTTAATGAGATGCTCTAACATGGTTTCTATACATTTTACAAAACCTTGTCAGGACCAGACTCTAGATATTACATAAACAATTAAAAAATATTTTTTTCTTCACATAAATCCTAGACTGGCCAACTCATAGTGTCATTTTGCACCATAAAAGAAAAAAATCGTCTTTGCATTTTAAGTTCCCCCACCCAGACTACCTCAACTTCTAGCCAATTGTGCAGGCTCCGCCACCCCACTCTCCAACTGGCAGCCCTCAACTCTCAGCGCAACTTGAAGAGGTGAATTGTCAAAGTAGTGCATGGGAAGCAGCACACCAAAATCCCTTCTGTGTAGGGATGGGTTCCTGGATCTCCCCACACACCACCTTGAAATGTACCTCACTATTTTCAGTGTCACCTGAGCCGTCTGTTTTCATGGGCAGATAGGGGCACAAAGTGGTTGACCTGTAAATCTTCAATTCAGAGAAGTCAATAGCAGAGTTACATTGTGCAAAGTTTCATAAGATTGCCACTTGGCTACTCACCAGATTGACACAGACATTGATCAGTGACCTAAGGTGAGGCAGGAAGGATATGATTGGCTGCCTCTGAAGTGTCAAACAAACCCCTTCAATCAAATTGCTGGCAGGCTCCCACTCAACCTGTCGCCTGGAATACAATATAGGCGCCATTAGCGGCTTGGCTCCCTTCTGGAGAGTCTGAAACAAGTGAATGAGACAGTGATTCTGACGCCATCTAAGACAGGATGTGTCTCTGGGATGAAGTTTACCCATATTGTTCCAAAAGCACAGAGCACACTGGGAGGGGAAGAAGATACTGAAAACGTAGCAGAGGCAGGCCTGCCCCATTCGACTAAATCTATTGAAGAAAAAACAAAGATGATGAACGGGTTGCATTTTAATTTCCCTGGTTTTAGCTTTGACAGAGGGTCCTATGACTACCATCGTAGAAAACTGATCACAGGGGTAATTACTCCCAATAGAACTAATCTGACCCCAGCTACATTTCTGAAACCTGTTTATCAGACTACACACGCCCATCAGTTTTTACACCAGACTACCACTGATTTGATTTATATAGCTTAACTCCTGCCAAGAAGATCACATTAGAAGAAAATAGTTTACTTAAACAATGTTCTTTCTTGGCCTCCCAAGAAATGATATGTATTTTTTGGCTACTTTGTATGGTAGTATAAATGGTGTTACTGTATACATAACCCAATTAAATGAATATGGAATTTTCTGTAATAAAAGTCAATCCATTTCATAATTGTCCTAGTACTGAAAGATTCATCCCTATGGCCCCAAAATAAACAACTTGGGCTTTACTGATATTAACAGTATTTCCTTATACTTTCCTGGCAATACTTTCTAAGCTTATATTTCCTAGCAAAATGGGATCTACAACAACAAATGGAAACATATTCATAAATGAGGCTATGTGACATCTCCGACACTGAAGGTAACGTGCAGGTCAGGTTCAGCCAACATTTCTTGTGTTGAACTGAGATCACCTAACAAATTTAAATCCAAGCCAACTCCATATTCATAGCATATCTCCCAAGAAAATTGCCTACAACTGACCAAGCCTGTGTACTAAGCCAGAAATCTACTTTCGGGAAGCATGATGTTCTTTATAGTGGGCTTAATTATATGAGAAATGGGTCATTTTTAGAGATGTTTAACATCTTTAGATACCAAGTATTTAAGAAAGGAATTTATTTCGACACACCCTTGTGAGACAGTTATAAATCTTTGATAAGCCATTTGCTGATAGACACAAATGTTCTATTGGGATTACTAAAGAAATAGTGTTTTAAAACAGGCATTTCCATGCCATTGAAATAAATAACCTTGAAATAATGTATAGGCAGTCACCACGGTATAAAAGAATATAAAAACAAATAATCAATTATTAGAATAAAAATTTTCAATTTGTTTTAATGACTCCTGAAGGCTGGATTAGTGTGAAGGAGATGATGGACTAATATCTGAAAAATTCTGATGAATTGAACATTAAGTGCTATAAACTCTTGGGAAGGAGTTGCACTGATTTTTGGGTTTAGTTTAAAAGGACAGAAAATGTTCTCACTAACCCAAACTTGAAATTTCTAAGTGGGTTTACTAGTATTAACCTGTTGAACTATCTGCTCACTATCACTATAGTTTCCAAACTGGGTTCACATCTCTGAGTGGTTCAAAAACATCTGCTAATATGTAGGCTACCAATGAATATTTCCCAGGTCACTGAACAAAGATCAAGCGTTAATAGTGTTCATTAGCACCACACTGAATTAGGTTAAAAAGTGAAAATTAGGTGTTTGTTTTCAATCCTGCGAATTTTTAAGCTGCTGCTTGGCGATTATTGTAAAGCTTGGAATTTCTCTAAACTGGTACCTAAATATGTTAACCAGCTACGTTAAATATAGTATTTTGAACATAAAATTCATTGTCTTTTCTCATTAGTTGTTCCATTTATAATGCCTACCCTCCCTTATTTTAAAAGGGATTAAAGGGTACTAATTGAAATTTTTATTTGTGTCAGATGAGGAGCGTGACAGCTAAGAAATGGATAGATTTTTCAAGATAAGCACATATACTTTTAAAGAAAACGTTAGTTTTCTCAAAATGTAGGCTTTGCCACTTAGGCATTCATAGACCCTATTAACCATGCACAAATACCAGAGAAAACTTTCAAGTCATTCATTCAACTCCAGAATGATCTACCATCTTAAAAAATGAGAAATCTTAACTTTGACATTTGTGATAGCAACAGCTAACTAGGAGGCATTCTCACCTCAAAGTAGGCATCTTATGAATTTTGTTGAACATTCTATCCAATCTTTTTAAAATGAGGATGAGGGCTGGCCTCACTGCCTCAGCTGTCCAGTCGGTAATGGGTAGCATCTCCATGATGTAGCGCCGAAGCCCACGACTCTCCATTGTCTGAGTGTCATATGGTGCCAGCTTCAGAAGGGAGTGTGCAATTTCTGCCAACCTAAAATATATACATGCGTATATATGAATATATAAAATAAGCGTAGAATTACACAATGGGAATTTTTCTACACAGCATCATATTAATCACCCCTTCCAGACCACCTACTCCCTGAACTAAGAACATTCTTCCCAACATCCTCTATCCCTCTGCTCTCCCATATACCAGAACAGTGATACCTACACATCCATATTAATAGAGAATCATAGAATGTTTCAGAGACGACATGTAAAGAGCATCTGATAAGGAAACTACAATCCAGAGATTAAGGATAGGCCAAATATATTTAGAGAATGTCACTTCTGAGGATGTACATGTATATTATATATATGACATATATCCATATAAAAGAGAACCTAACTTTAATGAACAATAAAATCACTAATATCAAATGTCCTTGGAAATTTCATGGCTTCAGAACTCCCTCAGTACCCATAGTCAAGGTCAAAGCCACCTTATAAAAAATGCTCTTGGTTTTTGTTGCAACCCAAAGAGTTCTTCAGGCTCCATTTCCATTCCTCTCCTTTAAAGTCTCCTCCTGTCTTTTTGTCTTATACATGGATCCTTCCTCTCTGTTGAGATTCTTTATCTAATAGACCCAGTTGTACTGTCTGGATGACATTGGTTTTGGTTGTCTCTGCTCGGTTCCATACAGAAACTGCCAGAGGGAAAGTTGTGCTTCCCGCAGGGTTGGCCCAGGCTTGCAGTCACCAGACCCAAGTGTTGATGTTCTAAGTGTTAGATTTTCTGAAGGAGAATTGGCCAAATAGATTAATTGGCCAAATAAGGTTTCTAGTAAATGTAATAGTTAACGAAATAATCTTTAGAACTAGATATGGATTACCAATTTCCAAATAATAAACAATACAAATATAAAGATGTACATAGCCTTAAAGCCAACTTAATTTAATTTTGTATAAAGGAGAAAGTATTTAAACACTTTACAGTGGCTCCTGATAAAATATACTGAGTAGATCCAGAATGTGTACAAGATAATATTAAGAGGTAATGTATACTCATTCATAAAAATATCTTACAACATGCTGTATGATTTGAGCTTGATTTTTTTTTCCTCAAAAAAAGCTTATATTCTAAAAAATACACCTAAGATACAGTGGCTGAAATGTTCATATTCTTTGTCGAGATACTGAAAATTCATTTGAAAACAAATATCTTTAGGAAGGGTAATACATTAAGTTACTACCACCCATTATTTGAATCTTTGGCTTCAATCAGTACATGTTGAGTTAGTCAGGCAAAGGATTCTATGGAACTGGAATGTAGGACAGATGATTCCTGATGGAGGAGGCGAGCAGACAGGCATAATGTTACCTAGGAATGCATGTATGGATGGCATCAGCAGGAGCAGCCATACCATACATGGAAAGTTTTCAGGATTGTTACTGAAGAGAGGAGGAGATTTCAGATAAACGGAAAAATAAGGTTTGTTTGTTCGTTTGTTTTGACAAGTTTGTACTGGAAAAGCTCTGGAAATAATCTTCCCTGAGTCATGGAATCTTAGGGTTGAAAAAGCTCATAATAGTCATAATATCCTGTAGGCAGTCAGGTTCACACTGGCACCTCTTATTTATTTTTTATTTTTTTAAAACACAACTTAAAAGGAAAATGAAAAAAATATAATTTCCCAGGACTTCCAATAATCTCATAAATAAGAACTTCTGGCTGGGCGTGGTGGCTCACGCCTGTAATCCTAGCACTTTGGGAGGCCGAGGCCAGTGGATCATGAGGTCAGGAGTTCAAGACCAGCCTGGCCAAGATGGTGAAACCCTGTCTCTACTAAAAATACAAAAATTAGCTGGGCGTGGTGGTGGGCGCTCATAATCCCAACTACTTGGGAGGCTGAGATTGTGCCACTGCGCTCTAGCCTGGGTGACAGAGCAAGACTCCATCTAAAAATAAAAAAGAACTTCAAAGGTCTGGGCCCAGAAATCTATATATTTTTAACTTTTATTTTGGAAAATCTCAAACATATAAAAAAGTAGAGAGATGAGTATATAGTAAGCCCCCAATATACCCATCACTCAACCTCAGCCTCCCAGGTAGCTGGGACTACAGGTGCACAGCCCCATGCCCTGCTAATTTTTGTAGTTTTTGTAGAGATGGGGTTTTGCTACGTTAGTCAGGCTGGTTTTGAGCTCCTGGATTCGAGCAATCTGCCTGCCTCAGCCTCCCAAAAGTGCTGGGATTACAGGTGTGAGCCACTGTACTCGGCCTACAGTGACTCTTGTTTTACTTATACCCTCAAACACTCCCCCTTTCCCCACCCTAGACTATTTTAAAGTAAATCCCAAGAATCATACCATTTACCCAGACATATTTCAGTATGTGTCTCCAAATTATGGACTGAGAAAAATTAAACACAACACAATATGACATTTAACAAATTAAAAATAATTCTTCTTTTTGAAAAATTCCAATATCCAGTCAGTTTTCAATATTCACACACTATCTCATACTTACTTTTTTTTTTTTTTAAGAAATTAGGAAAAAATAAGGCCCATAAATTTCAATTTGTTGATGTCTTTAAGTCTCTTTTAATATGTAGATTTCCCCCTCTTCTGTACTTTTTTGCTATCTTGACTTTTTTTTTTTTTTTTGAGACGGAGTCTCGCTCTGTTGCCAGGCTGGAGTGCAATGGTGCGATCTC